GCTTGCTATGATATGTATTTATATAATTTTGATTAAGAGAACTCTATACCAGAAAAGAATTATAATTTCCTTTAAATTTCAACTTCAAACCTTAAATCCAACTCAAACTTTATAGTCCAATCAAACAATTTCTTACAAACCCAACCATTTGGTTATTTTATTTTATTTTATTTTCATTAACCAAACAATTAGAACCCTAAATAGATTAGGATGTCTACATTGGGTTAGCAAGATAAATCTGGGGTCTTGTAGAAGGTTGAGTGTTTAGACTAAATATGAAAGCTTGCGGTCTAAAAACAGATTGATATATTGGTGGGTAAAATGGCTTTGGGGCTCGCTAGTATGGATAAAGTGATGTATTATTCACAGTAGGGTAGTATATGGAATAAACTAATGGTGGATAGGGTTGGTAACTTCTAAACTATTGTCTTTCAAAGCTTATAGTTTGACCTTCAATTTTTTTTCTTTGGTGCTTTTTTAGTACTGACTGATAAAATTACGGGCTATATCACTCTAGGACCAAATGTGGGTCATGTATAGCTAAACATACCATCAGCAGCAGAGCCAGTAAGGTTGCCTTATAATACGTGCATTAGCAACTTTTTATATTAGCATAAGTTACCATTTTTTGACAGTTTATGATAATATAGGTCTTTGGACATTTTGTACCATCATATTTTTTGAATTTCGATACTTTAAACTTTAGAGGAATAATGACATCTAGTACTAAACAGAGCTCAGCAACATCCATGAAACCATAAAGACCAATTCCCTCCACTGTTCGTAACTTTTCTTTAAGCATATTCATTTTTTTATTAGTTATTGAGTTTTCCATTGATTTAACCACTTTTGTTTTCTCTCTCTCTTTTGGGTCATCTAGATCAGGGACCTGAATTGGTTGTGCCACCTTCTCAGTAAGACAGGATTTACATAACTTTGGTAATACCCTGGATTTGAAGTCGGTGGCATTCTGGGGTATGTATACCCTACAGGGTATGTGAACTACTCTGGTGGTGCATCTTATCTAGATTGGGCTTGATATGACCTATAACCAGTAGGGTATAAAGGGTCAGTTACTTCTTATGATGGATGGTCTTGCTGGCTAATATTTTCTTCTATACTCTTTCCTTATTCAATTTATTCAAAGCCTCTAAAATCTTATTTAACTCTTCTTCAGGCTTCTCTTAAGGTCTTTTTATCTTCTTGAGACGATTAAAATTTTCTTATTCTATCTATCTAACTCGAGCTCTTATATTATATTAGTAAGTTGATTGTGTGATGTTCTTGCTTGATGGAGCTATCCTTGAGCCTTGAGTACCATAATTTTATCATTATTAGAAATGTTATGCTTTATGTTTGGTATTTTAATGCATAAATGGAATGTACTAATATTTGCTACATAATTATCATTTTATATTAGTACATTTCCATGGATATAGGTATGAGATTTGATTTATCAATAATTAATATGTGAAAAATATGTCTTATATTAAAATGATGCAAATGCTCAATGTTAAACATGACAATGAAAATGATGCATGGAATTAAATGATAATGCAAGCACTAATTGAAATGATGCAAATGCATAAAGTCAAACAAATAAAAAGGTTAGATAATCAATATATCACATAAATTGTTCCTTCTTGTATCTTAACTTCAAGTTACATCTATCAACAGATAGGAAGGGCTCTATCTGAAGGGTGGCCTCTTAAGTGTAGATTATGTCCTGGGTTAAGTGATTTTGGCCACTAAAGGTTTCCAAATTATTTTTTATATCATTGTCGATCATAAACTAATAAGGCATTGCAATCTTCACCATCACAGACTACCAACAAAAATGATTCAATTTGAGTTGGAGTATTTGCTAGCTATTCAGAGATTATCATCTTACAAAAGCATATGTACTTTACTCTCTTTTAAGATGGACAGAGCCTGGGTATCGAGTTCATATAATGCAAATGCATGTGATAATTTGTTTGCAGGAACATAAGATTTTCAAACCTTTATAAATAAAATTAAAGACAGAAAAGGAAACACATTAATAAACAAATAACATAATCATTACAATTTAAAATCATTAGATCAAATGATAGGATAAATTTAAAATGTTGTGGCCTCACTCTCTATTAGTCTCCAATGGAGTCGTCAAACTATTATAACATATATATCCAAAAATCTATAGCTAAACATAATATAAGGAATCGCCATCAATCTTTTTTATTTAGATGCGATTAGCTACTTAATGAATCTATCCTTTAAAGAGCTCCTAAACTTGACCAAGGGTCCCCTAAAAAAATATGTTTTAGTCTATTAATGTTCGAGACATATGGGAAAGGTTATAGCATCCCCACATGCCCATTAAAAGGATGGTATCATTTCATTTTAATTTATTTTAAGGTTTTGATTCTAGTGGTCTTAAATTTAATATTGAAAATAATTCTTAAGATTTCTCATCAATTTGACAGAATTTTTAAAAATATTTTATCACCTTGAGAGTATCTAAGAATCTCATTTATTTTTTTGAAGAAGCTCTATTGTCAAAAAATTTTAATCATTTTTTTTATCGAAAATATGTTTAATTCTTCCATCATTTGGGCCTAAATTAAAAATATTTTCTCATCTAGAAATTGCTTAGATAATCATCCATTTGTGATTACTAAGAATTTTATCATCTGAAATTTATTTTTATTTTACAAGTTTTATTTCTAAATTTTTTACCATTTGGGTTAATTTAGAATTTAAACTATTGTTAATTTCCTAATCCTTAGAAAAATAGTATGAAAATTATTTTTTAAAGTCTCATTTAAATTATTCCACTATTTGGGTTGAATTTAAAGAAATTTTTCACCTAAAGATTTTTAAGAAATTTGTTATTTGAAATTTCTAAGATTCTCATCCTTGGATAATTGTCAAAGAATTTTTCCCCACATTTTTAAGTTATATTTTTATAATTTTATTTTTTTTAACTATTATTTAGACAAGAATACAATTACTTTTATCTAAATTTCATTTAAATTAGTGCACCATTTTAGAAAATTTAGAGAAATTTCTCACCTAGAGATTTCTTAGAAAATTTGTCATTTGAAATTTCTAAAAAATCTCATCATTGGGTAATTAGTATTTTAATTCCAAAATTTTATTAAATTTATTTTTTTTTATTTTTTAAAAATTAAAACAAATATTAATTATTATTATTATTATTATTATTGAAACTTTATCTAAATTCTCCTTCATTTGAGACAAATTTAAAAAAAATTTTCACCTAAGAATTTTATAGAAATTAAGCTTTTGTAATTTTTAAAAATTTCATCATTGGATAATTATTATTTATTCTAAAAAAAATTATTAATGTTTTATTTTGTTATATTTTTTTTAATTTTCTTTTCTAATTTTTTTTAAAATTTAATAATGCAAAAATATTTTAAAAATAAATAAAAAAATAAAATAAACCAAAATAAGTACCGGCTCGACTTGGCTGGTGCGTGTGGTTCGGCTGTAGGAAGGAAAAATGGCTGGAACAGCTTTAGAAGGTGGCTTGACTTGATTGGAGGGACAACGGTTGGAACAGGTTGCAAATCGATCGTGCCGTTAGCCAAATTGGGCTGGTGGAAACAACAGATCCTAGGCTGAATTAAATGTTAAAATGGTGTCATTTTAATTGGCTATAAAAGCCAAACTTATTTTTTTCTTCATATTTCATTTCTGCTCTCTCTCTCTTTCTTCCTTTTCTTTCCTTCTCTCTCTCTAAAATGAAGAATGCCAATTGAATAGCTCGTCAGATTCTGAAAACTTAAGCTGAAATCTAGGTTGTGTCGCCTAGATCTTCAAGTTTCGTCGAAAACTTTATTGAAAATTAAAAAAGTTCGTCGGAATCTGAAAATTTTTTTAAATTTTTCGAAAAAAAAAAAAAATCAAAAATCACCAAGCTTTTAGAACTCCTGCTAAAGACTCTTCTAAAAATTTTAGAGTTGATTACTCCTTTTTTTTTTTAATTTCTGTGTATATCTATTTTGTTTGCTAGTCTCTTTGTGTGTTTTATTGTTTGATTTAGGTTTTTATTTATAGAGATTTAATCATAAGAACCTTAAGCTAAAAAGAATTTCAATTACTCTTCAATTCTGACTTCAAACTTGTCCGACACAAACTTTACAATCCAAACAAATAATTTCATACAAAATCAAACACTTGATTTTCCTTTTAATTTTATTATTATTATTATTATTTTATTATTTATTTATTTAACAAATTAGACAGTTACAACCCTAGACAAATTTGACTGTCTCCAATCTACAAACCACTAAGATTAAGTTGTAAATACAAAAATAAAGCCTCTTCATCCCTGCTGACTTGGTCCATCATCTTCGTTAGTCAGAGGGTCACAGCCAACGAAAGAATTGGCTGAGTGCAACTGTAGAAGATTTAGAGTTGGCTGGTAATGCAAGTGAGGATCTGAAGGTGAAGAACTTGACATACCCTTAATCAATGGAACCATAATTGATGGCGGTGTCATCCCTCAAATTCACAACACTCTTATCAACAAGTTCTCCAACTATTAAAAACTATAAGTCTCTCTTGATCATTAACTGAAAAAGCTTGGAAAAATAGGTTTTGGCGTATATTTGCTGATTGGTTGATAATTGATTATATTTTTTCCTGTTTGTTACCAGTAACCACAGGATTGCTAGGTTGATTTCTAAGGATAGATTGTATTTGGAAGTGTTTTATTCAATTTCGGGTTTTCCAATTTTTCTTCACTTTTTTCCCTTTTCTTTTCCAGGAGACCAGCTGTTTGCTGGTTGTGATTAAAACCTTGTTAGTATTGGAAATTAGTTCATGAACAAAGGCTAAACATTTGGGATACTTTGTTGAGATTACTACATATATCACACAGATGTCACCTATTTCTGTATAAATTGCTTGGAGGATCCAGGGAACATTTTAATTTCTGAAAGAGTATTAATCATCTGGTAGAAATTATATTCACTTCGGAACTGGTTAATTTGCCCTACATGAAAAGTTAGCCAAATTAATCTGCAATAGAACATGATCAGATCAAATCTCAAAAATGAGATTTGATAGAGCATAAGCAAGATACATGTAGACTGGAGGCATACGCAGATTGAGCAAAAACGGCCTAATTGCAACTATCTTTCAACAAATAAACAAGTTACACAAAATTCTAATCCCAGTCAACACCAACCAGTCTCTCCCTAAAGAAACAAATTGCAATAAAACAACAGAGACAAGTAGAGTTCATCACCTGGAGATCAATCACTAATCTAGTGCAGGAAAAAGAAAATGGTAAAGGATTCTAGATAGCTGAAACCTTTGGAACATCAACTGGGAATTGGTGGATCTCATCCATCCATGGGTTTTTCTCCTTGGCTGGATTTATGGTCCGCAGAGCCTTCCAAACTGCACTGTTGCACTTGAACCCTGAACCGAATGCTATTTGCCATGTTCTGTCTCCTTTCCTAACCCTCCCTTTGGCTTCTGTATAAGCCAATTCATACCAGAGAGAGCTGCTTGAAGTGTTTCCAAATCGGTATAATGTCATTCTTGATGGTTCCATATGCCAATCTGAGAGTTGCAAGTTCTTCTCCAACTCATCCAGTACAGCTCTCCCACCAGCATGAATGCAGAAATGTTCAAAAGCTAATTTGAAGTCTGGGATGTACGGCTTCACCTTCATCTTGAAAAGTTTCCTTGCAACTAATGTGGCAAAGAAGAGTAACTGCTCAGACATTGGCAGAACAAGAGGACCAAGGGTCGTGATATTGGTCTTCAAAGCATCCCCAGCAACTGCCATCAGATCCTTTGATAAAGAAACTCCAATCCTCCCAGTAGAATCCTCTTTTTGTGTAACACAAGTGAAGCATTTATCATCCGCACCTTTGTGGGTTCGAACAGTCTGGACCAATCTATACTTGGACCGCCATCCATCAGACCTCTTATTGGAAAGTAAAATTGCAGCCCCTCCCATCCGGAACAGGCAATTGGAAACAAGCATGGACCTTTCATTCCCAAAATACCAATTTAATGTAATGTTTTCCATGCTAATGACCAAAGCATAGGAGTTTGGATGTGCTAGAAGAAGATCTTTGGCAAGATCAATGGATATCAAACCAGCACTACAACCCATCCCACCTAGATTATAACTAATTATATTCCCTCTAAGATTGTAATGATTAATTACCATTGCAGATAAAGATGGTGTAGGATTAAACAAGCTACAATTGACAATCAAAATTCCAATATCTTTTGGTTTCAAACATGTTTTCTCAAAAAGCTGATCAAGTGCACCAAACATAACAGTCTCTGCCTCTTTCCTTGCCTCTGCCATGCATGGATTAGGAGGAACTCTTAAAACAGCTTCAGGGAGATAGGTTGATTCCCCAAGACCAGACCTCTCAAGAATTTTTCTTTGAAACTCAAGGTTTTCCTCAGTGAAAGTACCAGTCAAACGAGACCTTTCCATGAAAATCTGCCTGGTGCATTTCCTAGCATCATCTGGCTTGTAGCATGAAAAATCAACAAGGAAAACAGGACGAGGACGAGTAAGGAAATAAAGGGTTGAAAAGAAAACGAGAAGGGCTGAACATAGTATCACAGAAATTAGATTAAAACGAAGATGGTCCCAAAGATCATGGAGATCTTGAAGGGAGAATGTGGAGAGTTGTGCAGCAATGACTACAGCAAGAGGGGTTAAAAATATGTACATTCCATGAGTTATAAGATAATGGTAGCCAAGCTTAACGTATTTCAGTTTCACAGATTGCTTGAAATCAGGAAGCTTGTAAGAAGTTGATTTTGGAATCAAGGGTGTGCTTGGATAGGATTCAGACATCTTTTTTTTTTTTTTTTGTTCCTTTCTGGTGGGGATTTGACAAGATGGGTTGTCTGTTTAAAACAAATGGACAATAATTTACAGAAAAGTACGAAGTTTAGATGAAACAGTAGTGAAGAGAAGGAGAATGCACTTGTGAGGAATTTATAATGATGAAGCAGAAGTCAAACAAAAGGCCAAGTAGTTGAGTTTGGATGAAGATTTCCAAGGATTTTCAGGAGCAAGAGGGAATTATAATAAATTGTAAGTGGTTTACCGAAATTTCAGACTGTCAAGAAAGGTCCTTTGAGGCACTAAAATCAGACAATGCAGCTCTTAGTAGCTTGTGAATCCCTGCAAAAGTGAAAAAGGAAAGTTCATCCATCAGAAAGAAACTAAAAAACCAAACTTTTTAGCAGCTACGCATATACAAAAATGCTGATTTTGGGAATCTAGATGAGATCCAAAAGGGAAACAAAAATAAGTAAATGGAGAGACCTTTCAAGCATTAGAAAGAGAGGAAATGTGGGAAATCCAGATGAAGAAACTGACCTTAGAATATGAAATAGTATGAGAGAAAGAGACCTCCTTTTATGCTTTTGGAGTTTAGAAATCAATGAGACAGAAGAGAGGCTTAGCTAAAAGCTTGCTTTATTTAGGTCCACTTAGAGTTTGAAACTTGGCAGTTTTCTTATTTGGACTCGACAGGAACTTGTGGCCTGTACTAAAGGGTAAAAGCTCATGTGTTCATGATTTGATTATTTTAATGTTTGTTTAAGGTAAAAATAATTTAGATTTTTAGAGAGAATTCTTTGAATTTTAATTCTCTTTCAGAATAAAAGATGTTCCTTTTTGGTCTTTTATAATTGATCACTACGTTGAGAGGTAATTTCTTCTTCTTTTTTTTTTGTAAATTTTTTTTCCTTTTTATTTTAAAAATTAGAATTAAGGTTCTTTGAATTACTTGAATAGATTGTTTTAAAAATAGAATGCATATTTAATGTTTTTGCTCTGTTAATCAATTATTTAGAGCAGAAATTTTCACTTTATTCTTATAACTTTAAACGTATAAATTTAACTTAAGAGCACATGCAATGCAATGCAATGCATGTGCAACAGTTGTAATTTATTATCATTAACTTAAGATTAAGTTATATTTATTTCGAATTAAAAAATATGCTACTTCCCTCCCTCTCTTCACCTTTATACCCAAAGGATGAATTGCAATGGATGGTTTGAAGGTTGCCAGTATTTGAATTTTAAGTGTGTAGTTAAATTTTTAATATTTTATTAATAAATCATATAATGATTGGTATAATACGTAATTTTATTTAAATTTTTAATAATAGAGGAAGCCATTGGATTATGGCATCAGCTTTTGTTGAAGTATCCAATAAAAATTTTATATTTTTTGTAATTTAGTATAATATGATATAGTTTAACTAAATAAATTTTATAAGAATTTTAGAAATCGTGATAAGATCAATAGAACATGAGTTAAACATTAAAAATTTTAAAAATTAGCAAGGAGAATAAAAAAAAAAAAAGACGAAAACAGTTGAACAACTCAAAGGCCCAAAAACAAGGCACGATAACGGTGGACCACTACCGAAAGCAAAAGAACAAGACACTCAATATCTACCTCGTTTTGTCTGAAAATTTTTTGTCCCACAAGCCTGGACAGGACAACACACTGTTTACTTGTTCTACATTTGATTGTAATTACGTACCGTTTGATTCTATGTGTCTTTCTTTCAGTCTACCAAACTTGCATTAAATATATAAGATAATATTAATGCATCATACTTTTATTTTTCTAAAGTAGGAAAATTAAATTATCAAACCAAAATATAATAAAAGAAAAATTAGATGGTACCCTTTTATGATTTTACTATTTTAATTTTTAAGAAAAAAATAATACTAATATATTTAATCACTCACCTTTTACATTCTATTTTTCCTATCATGTTTTCTTATCTACACGCTACAAAGGTCATAATTATGATGACCCAAGTGTAATCCATAATCATATATATATATATATATATAAGAAAAGTATGGCTTATATGTGTATCATACGAGTATCTAATAATCATTGGGGAAGAAAAAAGGGAGAGAAGGGGAGAATGTAGCAACAGAAAAAAAAAATGAAAAAATAGGAAGATGTCGGTGAAATGAGATGTAAAGCGAGTTGTTGTCAGCTCCTCGCTCTAATCTAATGGCGCAGGTAAAAGAGGGAAAAACAAAACGCGAAGGTAAATAAATCTGGTCCACCTTGTGTAAGTGGAAGTGTCGATGCTTCATTTTCAGCGAGTCACGTGCAAACCAAACAAACCACTCTGGATTTTTACTGCTAAAACTCAGAGAGCATAGCTCTTTCAAGTTTCAAGTGCCCAACCAGCGTGCCAGGACCCAGCCAAGGTAAGTGAATGCATTATGCATCACGTTTATAAACAGATTTAGCAGGACAAGTTGTTGGAAGAGAAACCATCTGCCCTCACCCTGGCTAGAAACGGGATAAAAAGGATCCCACTTACATAATTATGACGCAGATAAACAATATGGAGAAAGCTTGAAGGCTCAAGTGCGACAGCAGAGCCTCAACATTGTCATTATCGACAAGAAAAGAATATGCATGCTGTGACTAGGGACCGTAACTGATACATTAATACTCACAAGTTATTCGGGTTCAATTCGAAAAAAACTCAAATTCGGTTCGATTATTGTCGAGTCGAACTCGAGCTCGAGTAACTCGACTTATCGATTAAGTCAAATTCGAGTATTCTTATATCTGACTCGAGTAGCTCGCGAGCCTAATCGAACTTTTATATTTAAATATATTTTTATTATTTTAATTAATAAAATATTTCGAGTCCGAGTTCGAGTTCAAATTCGAACATGAATAATCGAACTCTTGTCGAATATACGAATCGAACTTATTTTTACATATTAATCGAGCTTAATCGAATGAGCTCGAGTAGCTCGAATTCGATCACGAATCGAGCTCGAGCTTGAAAAATAAAACTCGATCGAGCTCGAATCGAGTATTGAGCCCCGAGTTGTGAGTCGAGCTCGAGCTTGAGCTTCTCACTATTTGACTCGGCTCGGCTCGTTTACACCCCTATCTGTGACGAGCAAAGGTACAAAGAAATGAACCAAATCTGCCAGCCCCAAGCCTGTGAGCTGCTGAAACTAATCCAACTATTGTAAACAGATGGAGTCGAGGAAAAACCTATATTTACGCCGACGAGTATACCACCAAGTTACATTAAGGAATATTATGAAGGAAAAAACTACAACTAGGAGGATCTGGTAATACTTTTTCTCATTTAAAATTGCCTATTGATGAAATTAATCTATCCAATTGTAATAAATAAACAAATTATATAATACACAAATAATAGTACAAGGATAAGAGAGAAAGATGAGGCAAAAACTGAATCTTGAGAGAGCTAGTATTACAAACCGCAAATAGAAAAAACCCTTGCTACACTTAACTTTTAGGGTCGTAATTGATCTAGTCTTTTGTGAATGCCAATTCTGATGCCAATGCAATATGATCACTACCCCATTTCTGAAAAACCAGACCAAAAAAAAATATATATTTATTATATAAAGTACAATCTAGTAAAATCTACACTGAAATACACCCGCTAGATTAAAAACACAGAAATTCAAAATTGCTACAAAAGTTGGGACATGTAATAGATATCTTACATTTTAACATAAAAAATAATCAATCAAATTTGAATCCAAATCTTCGGTTTTCTTTTATTTCTAATTAAAGTCAGTATCAATCCTTATTTATTTTAGTATTATCATTTCCCAAAAGCATTGTATGATATATAATCATATTAGTAGAGAAATAGAGCTTCCGTATAAACTAGTTTCACTATCATACCTTTGTTGGGAATCCTGGCGTCCATTGCATAGCATGTCTCGGAATTGGAGCAAGCACCCTTACAGTCTGGAGACCTTCAGAACGCCTGAAAGTCAGATCAGTGTAAAAGATATAATTAATTCTAATCCGCATATCAACACTATTTTATAACCTGTATTTTTTAAATGAAAGTACAAAAGCTAGTGGTTTATTTCAATTGACTAGATTAAACTCTGAAAAAAGTAAGATAAGGGCTCATATTAAAATCTTCATTAATATTAATGAATGCAGAACAATGAAAACAAAACATATTCCTTGGATAGCATATCTAAATTTCATACTATACCCTTAGGGGGAGGAGGATGGGGGAACCATGCTTGCTGTTACCCCTCCTTAGGAAGTGGGTAGGGTCTGAGGTTAGAATTTCCATTCCCCTTAAACTTCTTTGTATGTACCAAAATGAAAGGGCGATGACTTTTCAGACACTAGATCCAAGTCAAATGCGTCCATAGTTTTACAAGGAAGAACATAAGAATGCTGCAACTTTATTAGTCTACATCTTTGTGATGACTCTCAAATATATCCACATCACAAGTATAACATTAGATGTACTTACCATATGTAATCAACTGTGCCCAAAAAACGCCTGTTGTAACTAGTCACAAGAGGTTCTCCATCGGAGTCTCTTGTACCTGGATGATCCTGCAAAGTTGGGGAAAAAACTCCAAATTTTAATTCATTTATAGTCATTATGCTTGCAGATATCTAATCACTGAAAAGACTGAAAAGCTCCACAATGATCCACCTTAACTTCTGTATATGTACTTTTAAGCTGCAGCGGGTGCTCCAGGAAATTGCAGTCCTCATTGCCAGTAGCAGTTGCTATTTCCATTGGGCTCCATACTGATGGATCATAAGCAGCCTGCTCAAGTTCAGCACCTTCAGAATCCAAGGAAGGTGATAAATCATCTAGAACTTTGTCGCTTGAAAATGGAAACTGAGAGTTCTGGGAACTGAAAAATTCCTTGGAAGAATGATCCCAATCTGACGTTACTGATTGACTAGAGTCCGTTGGATAGACATCGTCATTACCATATAATGCAGTAACGAATGCCTTATTGTCTTCAACAATGCTTCCACCTTCTACCATAGTTTTGCTAAGCCCTTCAAGAGACAAATTATCCATTTTTTCTTCTACTTCAATATCAATGACAGTAGATAGACCTGAGAAGTCAACTTGAGAAGGAATTGAAGGCCCAATCCTGTCATTATTAGCAACTGACTGTGATGACTGACTGCTTGAGATCCCAGAAGGAAGAACTTCAACTGAATCAAGAGAGTGGGTCTGGCATAATTGCCCAGTTGAAGAAACCTCTGACTTGCAGGTATTCAAGAACTCACAATTGGTTCTGACCCTGTTAGAATGATCATCCATAACGGTGTCATCAAATCCTGTGCCTTTATTAGAATGGATGGTGACATCTGTTTCTATATGCTCCATCTCAGTCGCGTTAGAGCACACATTTTTAGGACCGGAAGTATTGGCAGGAGCAAATCTTTGCATGTCATCATCCATCTGATCTATAGGAAATTTTCCTTTACTGTGACAACATCTTGAACTTTTCTTGAAGTTATGAACTGGAATAGAGAATTGTGATCCAGTTTCACCTTTCGTAACATCAACTGCATTATGCTGAGTTTCTGTGGTCACCTCATCACATTGTGCACTGTCATTGCCTCCTGTTTGCAAATTGTTGCAGGACACATCTGCCAAATCCTGTGTTGTCTCACTAGACTGAGACAAGTTTATAGAAGCATCTTTCATATTTCCATCTAGGTTATTTTGTTTCTGTGTATCAGAGGGAGAATCATTCTTATCCATACCAATTTCCTTGATATCTACTGGTGGAGGAACTCGTACTGAAATATCACCAGACTCAGCCCTGTTGCAAGCTTTTCATCTTCAATAATCACAGTATACCCAAAAGTCATTCAAGTGTAACAAGAAGACACTAGTACAGACCTTACCCTGAATTAGGATTATATGACCTTGGTGGAGGAATTTCAGCAGAAGTTTGTCCTGATACCTTATCTCTGCCCACTCCTGACAAATCCAACTGCCCCAAACAATATAATTACAATCTTACTAGATCATCCATCATGGAAATAAAGAGAGAAAAAATAATTTATTTACCTTCTGCTCTGAGATAAAGTTGTACAATGGACTCTGTTACAAAAATAAAAGTTTTAAAAGACAAATATGAACAGACATAAACCATGTGGATAATGCTTAACTAACGCTTAAGGTGTAAAAGAAGTGATAACCTTGGGAGTACAATTAAAATCCCCACAAAGAACAACTGGAGCATCATCCCAACTCTTTGAAACAGCATGAGCTCTTTCTAGGAGCCTCCTAACCTGTTTGAAGGAAACAGAGGCATGAAGGTTAGAATGACTATTACAATCATAAACTGTTGCTCAGAGTTGGGTAGAAATGTTGAACGTGGATGTTTTCACCTTTTCCTAAACTTGTTTTTGGAGCATCATACCCATGTCCATTTTGACATGTCAGATATGAGTTTGACACAGGCCCATTTGGAAAAATAAAGAGTCAAAGCAGCATAGCATGCAGACATAAAATATATTGAGGCCAACGTGGCAATGTGAAAGAAGAAAGGGCATGTGCATGCAGGGGCAGGTAAGGTTGGGAAGGGAAGAAATATTTGCATGTCTGGGTGTGTCGAGGTAAACATAGAACAAACAACGCTGAAGATTACTCAAAATTTATGACCTCTAGGTTATCCAAATTTGGTTCTATTAGCATTATATTTAGGGTTTCTATGCCAAATTGGCAAAGGTATCAGAAGTATACAGTATCAAGAAGCAAGATAAGGTTCAGAAAAAGCAACTTAGTCTACATGCACACAAGGCAGAACTACTCATGTCAAATTTGAACAGGCATGGAGAGAAAGAATTTGACTTGGCAGATTAACCTCAGGTTTTACAAAATGCACTGCGATCAATCTTGAAAATCTGGCAAATAAGCAGAAAGACTGATCCTTGTAGTGAAGTTGGTTTAATCAGGAATGAAGGCCTCCAACAAGGAGGTGACAAGAAAAAAGCATTCAGAAAAGGTGGAAAAAAGAACATGATAACCAGCTCCAGAAAAGTGAATACCTGGCCAAGCTTAATTTCTCCTCTTCTAGGATTATATAGCACGTGAATGTTACAAATGACAACTTTATTTGAATTTGCAGAGCTGCAAATAAATGTTAATCTTTTTTTAAGAATTGAAATGATAAGAAAATTCAATGTTTTTATAACAGAAAAGCATATATTGCATACACAAGCAAAAGACCAAATTCTATGTTACTTAACATTAAGTATCATAATGAGAAAACACAGGTACTAGATGAAAAATGATAGGCAATGACTGGATTTAACTCTTTGTTTGAGTACGTGATATCATTTTTTGGGGGGTACATATGATCTCATGCTACACAATAGCCAACTCATACATTTCACCCTTCTCTTCCCAAGAACCCGAGACCTCTAAGTTGGAGTTTCAAATTCTTAGCCTCGGAGGTTTCCCCTTGGGGACTCAGGGCATATTATTGTTGAATATAAATACTTGTTTCAAGATATAACTTTACAAGAAAATTTCATCTCAAGTATAAATATGAAACAATTACAGGTTATTTTAAATACGTTTTGAGAAATATGTATTAAACAATTCTAAACCATAAAACTTATTACCTTTTTAGTGGAGCTGCAGTATTTTCAGGGGTACTTTGGCTCAACAACTGTTAGGGAAAGAGTAAACAAATAGAAGTCAAGGCATGGGCATATAACCATGTCATGGAAAAGAAAGAAAGGATGAAACCCAACCACGAAAACCATATTAAAATTCACAGTTCCATTCGAGGTTGAACTAAAAATGTGTAGCATACCTCAAGCACACATATCTGGGCAACATTATGCCGAAGTTCATGCTTGTTGAACTCTATATATTCTTCATGAAGCAACTTGAACCTAATAAGAAGATCATCAAATGAATCATTATGCAACAGTGCCAAATAAATATGTGATTAGGGGTCTTATCTGATAGCACCAACAAGGAGTTATTTCATACTCTGAAAATAAAGAAATGTAGAAAGAAAAAGAAGAAGAAGAAGCTATCAAAATCTTGAAATTTGCAAAAAGCCATGAAAGATCCAGGCAGCTTATCAACACCAATCGGGCAATTATACACTTGACCGGTAACTTGGCATATAGCAAGGGGTCGTAATAAAAACTATGCGAGTACATCAATATCCTTCCTTGCAAATAGACAATTGAAAGGAATGTTGACTGTGTTAATAAATGGAAATGTGATGCATTAAAATACCTTACCGTTAGGGGACTTTTGCTACAATAAACATCCTTGATGAAGTTTTGCTAATGTAGCCACTTGTTTTGTAATAGTGGTAGATAAATTTATGAATACTGTTTAACCTGAATCTATGACCTATTACTAGGGAGAAAAAACAAAAGGCACACTAAAGAAGTATCTGTAGCGTGAAGCTTAAAATGAGAAAATATATAACTGTTGCAACAGTAAAGTGGACAGCTAGCCTCCTGCTTAAGATGATAATCGAGATAATTGATAAGACTCGTGCAGCAAATAAAGAAAGTATCAATTCACCAGTCAGTAAATTAGACCTCACTGCTGGCCATTATAGACTAATAAAAGGTGAAGGTATAAGTACCCTGATGTTCGCCAAAAGATAGCACAGCCATCAATCGCATTGCCAGTTCGCATCTGTGAAATGGCCCAACAAAAGTCAGAATCTATTTTCCAGAGCAAAGCATCAAATATAATTCTATAATATGGCTTCTCAAAATCTGATACACATACTAATAATGGAAACAGCTTCAGACATGGATGCATGGCTTTGTGCCAAATACACATGGAAAAGGGTATTCAAAGTAAGGATATAATTTTGTCCCTCAAAATCATTTGACAACAAACCTTCCAAATGCCGCTATATCCCCTGGACTTCAATTGCTCCTCCAAGTCATGAAATTTATCGACCTCCTGAACTCATAGTAAAAGGAAACATATCATTTCAAGATTAAAAGATAATACACACAGTCAACCACCAATCAAAACAGACACAAAATTCTCACTTAAAAATAAATATGCATTTTCAGCCAATAAATCAGCACTCATGTAGAAACCTTGAATACATCACCTGAGGAAGTGCCCAATTTGAATAGGCTTATCTCAATCCAAAGAAGGGAGGAGAACAATAGCCTAATGGCATGTGATGACACTATTAACAGTGTGGGATTCATTTCAAGATGAATAATAAAAAACTGATCTAAGATCCTGGCAAGTTGCTGAAAAAACACAAGATTTTAACATGGTGATCTTAAGTGCAAACCTCAGAATGGAGGCTGTTGGGTTTATGGTATGGGAGACAGCTCGAACACCCCTCCCAAAACCAAAAAAAAAGGGAGGGGGGGGGGGGGGGAGGAAATCCCTGCCAAAGTATAATGAATATAAACCCAAGCACACATGTCCTACCACGATTGCTTTTACTATAAGAATAGTAGCAGCTACAGTCCTTGGGTCACTAGTGACCACACCTATTTACAACCCATCTATTCTCAAAAAGGTTCAAAAATTTATCAATGGTGGAAGTATGCAGAAAGTAAACTGAAGCAGATATACAAAAACAGTCCCAAAAAAAAAAAAAAAAACTTTAAGTGAGGTGCTAACAACTAAAACTCTGAAAGTACTACCTATACATTAAACTGATTATAGGTACCAGAAGCTTCTACTTATCAATCATTTTCAAGATAAAAATAATCAAATTACAGAGCTTCCATATTTTGTTTGCATGTATGAAACTTCATTCGGTTGCGGATTACAATAGGGTAATAACAAATAACCTGAAAGCACATAATATCTGCTGACCATAGTCCGAGCTCAAACATTAAATTCCTCTTTCTCCATTCCCAATGCATCATATGGTAAGGTATATGAAAGTAAAGATTCCGATGGGTACTAGCAAGGTAATCCGCCAATATATTATACGAAAGGACAATAAATCTCTCTGCAAATGATATATACACATTAACAAACTTCATTAAAGTTAAACCAACTAAAACTAAATGGACTACCCCTTAATTTGGTTTCTACTTTTACCACTTACTTTCTGCTATTTTCTTTTGGTTTCTCAAATTTTTGATACAAGGAAAAAGAAAATTATAAAAGAAAAAAATACACTTTGATAAAATCAAGAATTTGCCTTTCAAAAAGTTAAAATTTTAAATTGTAATTTTCTTTTTTTAAGTAACAAAAGCAATAAAAAAAACAGAGAGATTAAAATGAGTGATGATACCAGAATGCCGAGGCGGTGGAATTTCTGCGTACTCCCATTCCCGATAATCCCAGGGCTTGGTATTGCGAGGCCGGAAGGGCCGAGCAGCTTGATTTTGATCAAACGGTTGACGTGGCTGTTGATAACGGTTGTACGGATGAGACGTAGGTGGTTGGCGAAACTGCTGCTGGCTTTGGTTATAAGAAGACGGAGGCCTAGGGTTATAGCGGAATTGCTGAGGCTGAAAGGAGGTTTGATTGGAGAAACTTCCTCCACGGAAGCCGGAGTTCGTTTCTCGTACAGAGTCAAAGTGCGAGTCTCCTGTGGCTATCTGGCCTCTTCCACCGCAATCGGCTCGGTCGGAGAAGCCTCTGCCCCATTGGTTGCGAACATCTCGACGCTGTTAAAGTTAGAAAATTAAATGTTAGTGCATATAGTTGAATATATAATATCCAGAGCAATATGTTTTGCGAAGTGATGAAGGTGGTACAGGACGGTGGAAAGAGGACATGACGGCGGTGTCAACGGTAGCGTTGGCGTCGAGGAGCTTGAGACGGCGAGAAGAAGAAGAACGCCACATCGAGTGAAAAAGTTCCAGTTAAGTGGACTTAAGGTCTTTTGTAACGATGTAAAAATTAGATACCTGAGGGTTCACCGTGTATACCTTACCACCGATCCCACTCTACTCTAATTAATTTAAAGATTAATATTACATAACTAAATTTTATTCAACCCCTAACTTTTAAAAATACGATCAACATACATTTTTTTAGAATAACATACTTATCATTTAAATTAATATTCAATTGTTTATAATATGTGCCTTTAAATTGAAAATTCTAAGAAATCTGTCTATATACTACTAATCTTCTATAATATTATATCACCGATAAATTGACAAAAAAGCCGAATAAAAATATAAATTTAAAGGATATACAAGTCTTTTTATTTTAAATAAATGACTAACCATTTAGAAAAAAAAAAAAAAAACTCACTCTTTTTCCTTTTAAAAATAGTATTATCTTGAAAATAGATTTCTTATTTTAGAAATCATTATTTTTTTAATTTTTAATTTATTCTTAACCCTTAATTTTTATATATTTAATTCACGACATTATGCTTTTTAAATCTTTTTAAATTCATAATTTTTAAAAATTTAATGAATATGTATGTAATATGAGTTAGTATATCAAATTTTTATTATAACACGGTTGACTAAATTGATGTCCAACTTAGACTAAAATATTAATAATAAATATGTAATTAGAGATAATTTTGTCTTTTAATAATTTTAACAAACCTTAAAAAAAAAAAAAAAACTATTCATAACTTATAAAGAAAATTATTTATAAAACTTATCTTAAAGAAAAAAAATCATACTAGTGGGTGTTGTACTTGATTCTAATTCTATCTATATCTCTACTATATAAAGTTCTTGATTGAATTTGATATGATGAGTGAAATAATATAAATTTAATTAAAAAAGTGACAAAAACTCAATGTAAAAATAACATTAAATGATATGCACTTTATTTCACTAATTTAACAAAAACACACTTTTATTTAAAAAAGCTACACACTTTGAAAAAAAAAAGTACTACCTTTTATTTTTATCAAAAATAACTTTCTCTTTTATTTTAAAAATAATTTCTCTTCTCTTTTTTTAAATATTGTTTTTAAAAACAACAAGTGAATGAGTATATTCTAATTATTAACAATATAATTAATTAAATTTGGTGTCAAGTAACACCATCTTAATCGGTGAATTAATAAAGAACCAAGTTACACCAATTTTGTTAATTACTTTTATTTTGAAAATATTTTGAAAAACCAAAAAGTTCGTTTTATAGTTAAGGTAACTACCCTTTTCCACATAATCTTTTTTTCTCTTTTTGTTTTATTTTTAACTTTTGTTTTCACAGCGCCAAAATCCAACGATATAAATATGATTGAAACATAAAATTAAGATGAGATAGAATAAGATAATATTATAAATAAAATTAGATTAAATAATAAATTAAGATAAAATATGATTAAATGATATTATAAATAAGATTAGATAAAATAATATTATTTTATTTTGAATTTGATGTATGTAAAAATTAAAATAAAATAATTTATTTATTGATCAAAATTATTTATTTAAAATTATATAATTTAAATTCTTGATATAATTGTTAAACGTATAATAGAATATATAAATTCAATCTCATACATTAAAAATAATCATTTTCACTTTAAGAAAATTAAATCATTTTATACAAAAAAAAATAATTAATCTTCTTTATAATTTTATCATTTCTTTAAATATAAATTAAATATAATATAAAATAATTATTTTTCTATCCTATTTATCATTTTATGCACGAAACATAACTTACAAATCTAATTAAGTATTTTGTCCAAGAAGACAAAACGCCTTAATTTATGTCTCAACTCTAATATTTTAAAGGTTAAAATAACCAAAAAAAAAAACCTAAATTTTCAACTTTACTTCGGTAAACTCTTATTATTTTATTATACTCAAATAAATCTTTAATTTTTAATTTATATTCAAATAAATTCTTAACTTTTAATTTAAACTTAAATAAATACTTTAAATAAATCAATATTTTCTTAAAAGAAAATGACTTCCTTTGATACAAATCAAAAAATAAAATCTTATTTCAATACAATAAAAGCATATGAATTTATTTTATAAAAATAAAATAATTAAACAGCTTTTTTAATATTTTAACCATTTTAAAGGCTAGAAAAAGGGAGTTCCCGAATTTACCCTTGTTTGAAAATGTTAAATAAGACAGAGAGGGTAAGGTTTATATTTGAATTATCATCTATAAGTAGTTCATAAATCTATGTAAGAGAGCTCACAATTCTATTTCAAAATTTCCAAATATCCTCATGAAAGAATGCAGTAGTTAATTTTGTTATTGACAACCATGTTCACATTTGTTCACATTTGTTCACATTTGATGCAGCAGAGGTAATAGAATCATCAATGAATGGAAGAGTCGGATTAACCATATCAAATGAACTTCAGCAACATTCTCATGATAAATAGTCAAGCTTCGCCAACAACCATCTTAAGAAGCTCATCCTTCTCTTTCAACTTTTTAGATGTAATGGCAGTTGCCATAACCTACACATAAACACAACACGAAGAATGTTAAAACTCTAAATAGTTATTGTTTTTAACAATTTTATATATAGATTTAAGTATGCAAATGCATAATTTTCAATATTCATCTACGATCATAAGTCTCAGATAACATATTTTACTTACTTGGATCAGCACTGGTGATTTGACCAGTGCCAGCAAAATCGCAGCTGAAATAGCTCTGACCTTTGGTTCGATAGTAAGAATTCATAGCAAATGCGGCATGAGACCGGACAGTGTTGGGTTCATAGCATATTCCACCAGGCTGAATTGGTGTACAATCTATGCCTTGGCCACATGCGTAATCCAGGTTTGATTGCAGCTGAGCATAGCTAACATCAATTTTGGGAACACAGAAATTCTTGCCTGATGGTGCTGGAGTCGCTGGGGATGGATTTGTTGGAGCAGGCACCAACTAATATATCAAGAATATAAAATCAATACAACCATTTAAATTAACATTTTCTACAAGCTTATTAGAAATTAAATCAATTATTGAGACTGGGAGAAAGTTATATGAAGGTATATTTAACTTTCAGTTGAGACTAAATTAACAAATACTCTCTCGATAGTTGAATCAATAAGATTGAATCATTTCTTCTTTTCAGATTTTAGATGTGCGAGGTAGAAGGGGGGAAGCAATCAAAGCAAATGTTTGCCTGTATCCTCTAACCTATTGAATGGACAAAAAATGTCAGTTAAAAACAGACGTACCTGTCCACTGCGTAGAAGCCCAACATCGTAAACAGGGGTCAAGTCAGGTTTAAACAATCCCCAGTACTTCTCAGCAAGTGGACCTGGTTTTTGATTCTCATTAAACAATGCAAACATGTATGTCTCAAACCTGCGGTTTGGCATCAAAGGTGTTCCTTTGCCCGAAATAATTTCCTTAACCACGTTTCCATTGTAAGAAATTGCATTTTCCATGCTGGCAAAAGGGCTGCTGGCATCACCTTGTGAGGGCCAACCAGTCTCACCAATGACAATATCCACATCCCCATAGCCAAGGGCTTTCATGGCTGAATAAGTTGAGTCCATGAGAGCATCAAACATATTGGTGTATGTTTTTCTGGTATATTTGTCATAGACTCCACGGTTTGGCTTGAAAAGTGCGTAATTCAATCTTCTCGATAAGTTAGGGCTAAAATAGGGATACGGGTTGATCATGAAAGGTGATTTGGTCCGATGATGAAATTGGAGTATGGGTGCAAAGAAGCTTAGGTCATAGCCAACCATGAAACGCATTAAACTTGGTAGAGTTTCACGCCGGAATATATTAAGTGCATGAGAGCTCGTGACCTACTCAAAACAAAAAAAAAAAAAAAGAAGTTAGAATAGCATATGATGATGATAACAAAATTGCTGATGTCATTGGATTTTATTTCATGTAAAACTAGTTACTCCCTTAAACTTTTAAAATGAGAAGTAATATATCAGCATTGAACGGTATGACATAAATTTTAAAAAATCCAGTAAAGACGATAATTTGTAATGGCAATTTGATGATGAGATCTGTGATCATCTGTTTGAACACGAATGTACAAAAAACATTTTTGTTTTCTCTAGTTAGAGCAATGGAAAACTGGCTCAAGGCAAGCAAGGAATTTTTGTTGCTGTATCATATAAGTAAAGAACAGAAAAATATATGAGTAAAGAATATTCATTGTTTTCATCTTAACCCAATCTTTTTTTTTTTTTTTGAATTTTGAAAAATGTATCGTTTTAGCATGAAGAATGACACAGAATCTTTGCTTTGCAATGTTAAAAGATACAAGAAGCACAACATGGTTATTATTATGTTCAAAAAATCACTACAACTTTAAACTAGTTTTCATAGTCAAAGGAGAGAACAATAATAAGAAGAAAAAGAGCACAAAGAAGATACCAACTATTTCAAAATTCATCTAACCTTGATATCTTGAATTCCAGCTTTAACCAAAGCATAATGAAGACTCCTCATTGCTGGCACAAGGTTGTTAATCCAATCAGTATTGTTTGAGAATAAGACTTCACTACCAACACAGATATATTTGATCTTTGTCTGAGGATAAAATGGGCTTATGTGTTGAGCAACCCATCTCCTTGCCGCAACGGTATTCGTAAGAGCAGGAATATCTCCATTGCCAACTGTGACCGTAACTGAAATTCCAGTGTTTGCAAAAGCTCTAAGGACATCAGGATTAGTGTCAAACAATTTGACACTGTCAAAAATACTTTGGGTTTTAATGAAGTTAGCAACCACAGAGGGAGGCGGAAGGTTGTCTGCAGCCATGCCATAGTTCACTCCGAGGCCATTGGCAGTCGTGAAGAGGTAGAGGAATACGCCAAGGAGGACGAAGATGGCAGTCATGGCTATGAAAGGTATTGTAACTTTTCCTATTTGATTTTTATCGAGTTTTAAACTACCTAATGAAAGATGATTGTAAAAGAGGCGGTTGTAGGTAGTTAAAATGGTAAATAAGGGATGAGAAATTGGTTACTCAATATTTTGACAACTATATAGCTAGGAAGACTACATGTAAAGAAAAGCTAGATTCTGAAGAAAGAATTTTCCAGACAGGAAGACTAGTTAATAAGAAAAGCCAGATTCTTAAGATATTTTGAAGTAAAGCACTTCTAGCGCAAAGCAAGAATCGCAGTTAAATTGAATAAATTGAAGTTATTCAAATTATTTCTTAAGGAATTCTGTTTTCATCATGAAATAAAATTGCAGAACAGTTTTTGGCTAAACCCGAATTTGATCTGACTCAACTTTGGGTCTCTAAACTTCAAGGCCCCAGTTCCAACCTGTTGAGAAAAGACCCGGACTTGTTATGACCCATATGCAGATATTCCAATCAAGGTAGATGTAAAACTAAATCAGCAAATGAGATTATCAAACATTAATATTATTTTAAAACAACAGATTCAATAACATACGCAAGTAGCCAGATATTTTATTGAAGCAATCAAGCAGTGCTACTACTACTACCACTACTATATCAACTATTTACTAAAGTCAATAACAAAAGAAAGGAAGTAAAAAGCTTAAGATTTCATAGCTAAAACAAAAGAGTAAAGTCTGATAGGCAAATAGACAAAGAAAAAAGGAAAGCAGGAAATTGAAGAAATAACAAAGCCAAAACTAATTCACAGTAATCAAATGATTAACTCATAAAATTCCATTAAAATCAAATACACCATTCATTGTTATGGACTGAATCTAATTTTCTATAATGAAAGGGAAAGAAATAATGTTGTATAGGTGAAATTTGGAGCAGAGCACTAACTTACATGCAGCAACTCCTGAGTTAGTATAAATCTGTGTTGCAGAAAATGATATCACCCATGCTTGAATCTCATAGCCTGCCTGTTCCAAGGGAGAGGAAGTGGATGAGAAAGAAAAATTGGGTTTTCTTTTCTAAAGAGGAAAGAGAAAACTTTTAAGTTTTCACGAGTAAATGAAATGACAGACGAAATGGGAGAGAGAGAAGTTGTCTGATTACGCGTTCTCTTCTCTTGGACATTCATAAGAACAAAAATAATTGATGGTGCAGTTACATGTGTCGTGTTGTGTTAGGAGTTTATGCGTTGGTTGATTTGAAATGACAAAACAAATAAATATAATTATTAAACCAATTTTTAGAGCGAAGAAACATTGGTCCCAGTGGTAGCAGCGGGAATCAAGTAAAAGAAAAAGGCAAATGATGGGTAGTGACATTGTCAGTGTTACTGAAGAATGTCAGACTGCCGTCCCTTTTTTATTTTAACTATGAATAAATAAAAAAATTTAAATATATTGATAATAAAATATTTCAATTTTATAAATATAATTAAAATATAAAATATATGTCACCATTTTAAAAATAAAAAATTTTCATTATTAACATATCAAATAAATTTTCATAAATAAAATAATTGTCTACTGCCCTTTTTTTTTTGTCGACAATTTAGAAAAGAAACAAATACAATCGAATCAAATCCTCTTTTTCTGTTTTATTTTAATTTAAATAATTAATATGATGAAATCCTAAACTTATTCTAAAGGGAAAATATTTGTTTGTTTTGGACTGGAGCAGCTGGGAGTTCCTCAATTTTTTTAACTAATTTTCCAAGCTTAGGATAGGCACTACGTATATTAAAAATAGATTCATAAAGAAAAATCTTCCCTTGTGACATGATTTATTTTATTAGTTATTTAACTATATTATATTAATAAAATTATTAATTAATATTTTAATTCAAAAAATTAATTTAATAAAATATTATATTTATGTCTACTTAAGATATAATTTATATTTAAAAATAATATGTTATAAACATTATATTAAATTAAAATTATTAAATTAATTTTAGATTAAATTGATAATGTGATTGAAATCAAGTTTAAGTATAAAAAAAAATAATTCAATGTTGAGGTTCTACGGAATTGGATACAATGATTAAAGGGTAAGATTGGAGTTGAAATGCACATAAATTTGCTTAAATTGATTTTATTATCATTTTTAAATGTTATTTTTAATGGTAATTATATGAATTAATTAAATTTAAATTTAATAATATTTTACATTAATCTATAACTCTGGTATAATGCATAATTGATTTAATTAACTTATTTAAAAAAATTTAAATTAATTGGAACGAGAAAAAAGCTTAGATCAATCATAGCTTTGAATTTATAAAACCAAATAAACTTCCTACTATATTAAAGTTCAATGCTTAATTTCTACTTATTAAATTGTAAACATTGAGAAATTCTGACTATCCTAAAAAATATAGACTCTTTCTTAAAACATTATGATAAAGTAGCACTTTTTTTAAAGAATAAATAACATCGTTTAATTTTGTAACGAACGCACGGGTCCTATACCGTCGGATTTTCCTAAGCTGACATTGAACGATCAAGATCAATCCACCAAACATCCGCCTCATCTTCATTTCCGTAACTCGTTAACTCCCCCAACAACCAGAGAGGAGAGCGTTAATTTACGAGTCCCAGCTACGAAAACGACGTCGTTATATTGCTCCTTTTGACTCCAAAATCTCTGTCTCTTCTCCCAAAAACCCAAAACCCTCAGCCATGGCTTCGTCAGAGCTTCTTCTTCTGCTGACGTCCCTGATTCCTCTCTCCTGATTGGTCTGTTTCCATATTACTAAAAATTTCTTCATTTCTCAATCTTTATATTTCACGATGAATACATGATAATAATTCAGACCCCTTTTTTGATTTTTTTTTATTCAGTTTCAGGTTTGAATCTTGAAGGAAAAGGCCTTTTGGTCCAAGGCTAAATGTAAGTTATAAAATTTGTGACTATTTATCCTTATGTATGCAACAAAGGTTCCCGTTTGATTGATGCTTAAAGCAATGAGTCAAAGCAGTAACTAAAGCTAAAACTGTTGTTGTAGTTTAGTGCAGAAGAAGCTGTCCAATACCGACTTGATTCATTGAAGTACAATGACCAACCTCGACAGGATTATAGTGTGTTTGGAATTGGTGGCTCTTAAACGGCTGTTTTTAATCTTTTGTTTTGACAGCTTGCTGGATTTGATCCTTTTGAAAGATCTAAATATTTTGGACCCTTCTTTGATCTAGGGCAGGTCAGTCAATTATGAAATTTTCAAAGTTTTAGGATTCTTTGTGCTATAGATGCTTATGCTTTTGCTGGTTTGCTGCTTTTCTGTCAATATAGTTTGAGCGGTTTAGGCGAAATTTTCACCATTCAACTTATCGAGTATTGCTTGATCACAAGGAGAGGAAGATATTGAGCAGTTTGTTTGTCAGGGAGGTATTGGGTTGATTTTAATTTCTCCACATAGGTGATTTATTTTTGGACCTTTGCAATGTTTGTTATTCTTGTTTTTGAATTGTGGAGCAGAACCGATTCAAACAACGGGTTTGGATACTTGGAAGTCGCCCAGAGGAGGAAGAAATACTTGAATTTACAATGGTGGAGGCCTGTTTATTGAACTCTTTTGCTAGTAATCTGCAATTCTTCATAGAAACTAATAATAGTATTTCTACCATATCATGTTCCTATATTTGGTTTCTAAAGCACTCAAGTTAGTAAGAAATATTTGAACTTTCTGATTGAATTGAATCCTTCAAAATTTATCATATTGAACTAGTAAAAGCCTTTTGCTTTGTCTTTTCAGTAGTTGTAGCAAATTTAGTTCTTTTAAGAGTTCAAATCATCATTGAATCAAACAAAAGTTAGTTCGCATATGTTCATAAACACAAAGTCAGTAAGTCACATACTGAAACATGGGAAGTAGTTGACTGGCATATTACATGTTTACTGGTTGTTTTGAGGCCCATTGTCAAACATATGAGAAGAAAGAGGGGGAAAATAGGTGAGGCTCCAAACTATGATCATACAGTGTACTCAATTAAGTTAAATAAATTCTGAGTTTTTATGTAAATATGGGAGTTTGTAATTGCTGAGAATAAACTGATGAATCTTGCTTTTCATTAGAAGTTGGATCTAAACACTTTGCTTTGTCCTATATCAATTAGTAGCTTGTTTTCGGCAGAGGATTGGTGGTTCATGGGATGGTTATTGGTTGACAGAGAGTGTATGGAGGTGCATTTGCCGGTGGTTTGGCTTGCTGAGAACATGATTCGATGCAGCTACTCTCTGAATCACTTGTATCCTACCTTCGATACTTCAAATTCATGTAGGATAAATGGTTACCATGATCAGCCTTGTCAAACTTTTGTAAATTTGAACCTTTATAGATAAAGTATATGTTAGGAGCTGCAGTAATTGTTCGCTCCTTTGTTCATGTTTTTACTCTATTCCATGTGAAGATTATTGACAAAAGTTTGCTACATGGACCTTGGTGAAAATGGCGACAGGTAATGAACAAAACAGGGCCAAAAGTCTTCTCTTATTCAAGGAGTGCCAAATTTGGGAATAGCACCTTCAACTGTAGCTAGAGCAATTGCAACAAATTCAGACTAATATAAGGAGAAACGTAGTGTTGCAACTTGTTGGATCTAACTACAGATGCTCAGTTATACAACTAAAGCATTTAATTGTATCGATCGGCAGACCACATTGACTAACAAAAGTGTTGAACAAGACAATAACAACATAATAGCTCATAAGATAAAGTAGAACAAATAGATAAACCGATCATAACTCATCTCATTAATGCCATAACTCATATCATTAATGCATTACAGCGACCTTATCATCTAAATAATCTACGACTATAAGAATTGATGAAATTCAATAAGAAAACTATAACCAATGACTCCTGAGAAAACTACTAGCTTTGAACTGTTATTTCTTCACTTGAGATGGAAGTGACGAACTTGGTAAGAACAAAGCGATCAGGGGGTTCAATGTTTGTGTAATAGTTGTTGATTGCCTCTGATTTCAAATCCAACAGAACTTTTTATATTAAGTTTACCAAACCTTATTTTAACTCCTATTTACAACACTTTTAGAACAGTTCTATTGTAACAGTACTTCTTACAGAAGCTCCAACCGTGTCAAATAAGCCTTACACTGCTAACTGAAAACACCTTCTTGATACCAATCAATCGAGGTTTTTGTTTCAAGACTTAACAATTTCATTACTCCGAGCTTAAACATCTAGGCTAGCAATTTTGGGTCTTTGAAAATAGAAATATATCAAAAGGAAGCTTCAACTTCATTACATCCTCTTAATTTTAAGCTTTTCCTTTTTAAAACTTTATTAAATACACATTGATTTGGTTTTTTCTTATTTTGGGTGCTGTTTTGATTACTATGAAATTTCTTAGGTTGGACCTGAGAATTCAGCCCGGATTTGGAGCTTTTCCTTTCCTAGAAAGTTGGGTTTGCACCTTGGGTTAAAAATGAGAGAGGACAGCAAATGTGGTCACCAATGAATCAGGGTGTCAACAGAAAAGTTTCCCAACTGAACTGATGACAAGGATAGCAGTTCATTTTTTAATCAATTTGAAGATTTTTATGATAATTAATCCATAATTTGTAACTATAATCCAAATTTTTTTACTTTTTCCCACTTCATGCATCATACCAAACAAAGAGAAAGAGGACAAAGAAAGAAGAAAAAAAAACCCACGTCAAACATAAAAAATTCATACCATGATTGATTAAAGATCCCATTGTCGACCAGTTACCATAATTTCCTTGCTATGGAGTGGGAGAGATAGAGAAATGATTGAGAAGAAGGCAAAGGCAACCATAGTAGGAGGGAGTATAGCTGGGGTGTCATGCGCCCATGCGCTCACTTCAGGAGGATGGGAAGTTGTGGTGCTTGAGAAAACTAGCGCACCCCCAACGGGAAGCCCGACTGGGGCTGGAGTGGGTCTTGACCCTTCGGCTCAACAGCTCATTGGTTCCTGGCTTGGCCATCCCCAGCTCCTCCAGCAGGCCACCTTGCCCCTCACGATCGGGTAAATGTCAAATATCTTATACTAGTCCTTTCTCCTCCTATTCTAGTAGTTTTTCACTAACAATTTTCAGAGAAACGTTGGATTGTGGATTCTTATATTTCGACAGAGAAAGTGAATGGAAAAATAATATTAAAGGAGAATACGTTATTTACAGGTTTTGTTGATTTAAAAAATATAAAATTTTTATATTTAATTCACAAAAATATAATATTATCTAATAAAATTTTTTATTATATTATCTTTAATAACACGTAATATTTATAATACTAATATTTGAATAATAAGTGACATATGAATAATTCGTTGTCTTTGTTGACATTAAATAATATTAAAAATTAATTTTTTATATTTTTAATAAATATAATATTATAATTTTAATTATTATCCTAATGTTATTGTCAACAAATATTACGTTTTTTATCTTAAAAAATACTTTTTCAATATAACTTATGTTTTTATCTTTGAAAAATTATTTTTGTTTAATTCTAAAAAAAATATTTTCATATTTTCAACAAACATTGCATTTTTATCTCATAAATGTCACCTTTTTCAATAAAGACTACATTTTTATTTAGAAATGTATAAAAATTACATTTTTTATATTAGAAACATTGTTTTTGTTAAATTTTGAAATATATATTTTTTCATCTTTTCAATAAAGACTACATTTTCTATCTTAAAAATATCGTCTTTATTGAATTTTAAAAAATATTTTTTTCATTTTTATAACAAAAATTATGTTTTTATTTTAGAAATATTATTTTTTTCAATAAATACTATGTTTTGTTATCTTAAAAGCATGTCTTTATTAAATTCTGAAAAATAATTTTTTTATATTTTTAACAAAGACTACATTTTTTTAAAAAAGAAGAAAATGATGAAAACTTTATTGTAATGACTAATTTTTTACAATGAGAGGTAAAATATTACAAAATAGAAAATACAATAAATATGAATAATGATTAAATCAATTTTTATAATCACCTAATCAATCTCTAATATTCTCTAAATCAATATCAAATCAATATATAATATTATTTAAATCAATATCAAATCAATTTAGAATATTACTGAAATATTACTAGAATAATATCATTAATATAGAATATTATCAGAATATTACTAAAATATCATTGATACCCCATTGCAAACTCAAAATGGTAATGTAGAGGCCAGCTTAAGTTTGAAAACTTAGATAAAAAATTAACCAAGTGGATGTGAATTGGTAAAGATATCTGCTTTTTTATTAGCACCGATAATAGGAACAACTTGAAGAGTTTAAGCAAGCAAATAGTGATGAATGAAGTGACAATCAATTTCAATATGTTTAGTATGCCCGTGAAAAATATCATTGTGAGCTATTCGAATGGTACTTTGATTACCATAAAATATATGAGTACTAGAGTGATGAGAAACACATATATCTGAGCCATCGTAACCATAGAAGTTTTGATATGGCATCTGTAAGAGCTCGATACTCAGCTTCAGTGCTAGAGTGGGACACCACAATTTATTTTTTACTTCGTTAAAAAATAAGAGAAGAACAAAAAAAAATAGTAGTCGATGGTATAACAATGATCAGTAGGATCTCCTGCCTAATCAGTATCATAATAACAATGCAAGTCTAAAGAAAACCTAGAGGAAAAATATAAATCATAGAACATAGTACCCTTGACATATCGTAGGATCCAGAGAATAGCAGCAAAATGAGTAGATCAAGGAGCAGACAGAAATTGACTAACTAGATAAATAGCATAGGCAATATTTGGATGAGTAATTATCAAGTATATGAGACTACCCACTAGAGTTCGATACAAAGAAGGGTCTGGAAGTGGTGTACCATCAGAAAAAAAGCTTCAAATTATGTTTAAGTGGTGATGATGCAATCTTACTATCAGTTAAACCTATTTGAGTAAAAAGATCAAAAGCATACTTTGTTTGAAAAAAATGTAATCCGGTAAAATCATTAGTGATTTAAAGGACCAAGATTTTTCATTCTCAAATTTAGAATGAAGAAAAGTCTCTAGATCTTGAATAACATTTGTATCATTACCCGTAATGATCTTGTCATCCACATAAAGTAAAGATGAGTAGTACCATTTTCAGTAATTCGAGTAAAAAGAGCACAATCATGATTATTAAATATAAAATCAAGTTGTGTAACAGTAGTACTAAACTTAAAAAACTAAGCTCTAAGGGTTTGCTTAAGATTATATAGAGCATGTCGAAGATGACAAACCATGTTGAAAGGTATAGACGAACCATGTGGTGGCTTCATATAGATTTCTTTAACAAGATCACCATTCAATAAGGTATTTTTAACATCCATTTGAAAGGTTAGCCACTTTCTAGCTGCAGCAACAGCTAATAGTGAACGAACACATGTGAGATGTGTAACTAGAGCAAAAGTCTCTTCATAGTCAATGCCATATTGTTATGTAAATCCTTGAGCAATAAGACGAGCTTTGTAACATTCCACTAACCCATCAGATTGAGTCTTGATCTTGTTGACCCACTTATAATTAGTCACTGACTTATCAAAAAGTCATTTAACAATATTCTAAGTATGAGTTTTCTCAAGAGCCTAAAGCTCTTCTACTATTGCTTGCTACCACATAGGATTAGAGATAGCTTCACAAAAATTACGAGGTTCATGTAATGTGGCTAAAGCTTAATAACAGTGAAAATCACGAAGTTGAGTGTTAGGTTCTCTTACTTAGGTGAAACGACAAAGTGGAGGCAGTATGTATGGTAAATGGATAATTATATCAATAAAAGCCTCAATCAGATCAGACATAGTAAGAATGAAATAAGATGGATCACTGTTTGAGTCAGAAGTACATATAATAGTCTCTTCATTTGAAGAAAAATCAAAAAATGAATTTGTAAAAATACATAGAAAAAAACATGGTAAATATAATGAGGACATACTTGTGAACTTTTTATGTTCTTAAAAAATTATATGTTTTGAAATGAGAAGACGTTTAAATACTGGATCATAACACCTATACCCCTTGTATTGTATACCATAATCCAAAAAACAACATAATCTAGTAGGTTCAAGTTTAGTCATTTCATGAGTAAAAAGTCAAACAAAGCAAGTGCATCCAAAAATTTTTAAAGAATGGTAATTAGGTACCTTGTTATATAGACACTCATAAAGAGACCATGTGCCTAATATTAGTGTGAAAACATGATTAATAGTATAAACAACAGTAAGAGCAACTTTACCCCAAAAATATTTAAGAGGGAAAAAGAAAATGAGAATGGCATGAATTGTGTCCAGAATATGACGATGCTTTCTTTCAGCTCGATCATTTTGTTATGAAGTATATGGGCAAGACCTCTGAGAAAGAGTTCCATCATCTTTTAACAAGTTACGAAACTCAATTTTTGTATATTCAGTAGCATTGTCAAACTTGAGGATTTTTATTTTTCTAAAAAATTGAGTTTGTATCATATTATTGAATTCATAAAAAATTGATAAAAGTTCAGTTCTTTGTTTGAATAAATATATCCAAGTATAACGAGAGCAATCATCAATAAATATAACAAAGTAACGTGAACCTTCTAAGGTTGGTGTAGGAGTTGGACCCCAAATATTAGAATGGACTAAATAAAATGAGCATGTGAGATAGAATCATTTTTATCAAAAGGTAAAGCACTTTACTTTCCAAGTTGACAAGATAAATAATAAAAAATATTATGAGAAATATTACTTAAGACACCAGTGGAAGCAAGTAACCTTATTCGAGAAATAGATGCATGTCCTAGCCTAGAATGCTATAAATCTAAAGAAATTGAAGAGTTAGTTGTTTGAGATGTAACAACAATAATCAAATGTTATGAAATTCTCAAAGTTTCAAGCTCAAATAGTGTTCCAACCTTACGCCTTATCCTAACTTTCTGACTTGTTTGAGGATCCTATACAATACAACCACATCATTGTAAAAAATACAAATCAAGACTAAGGTCACAAAATTGGCCAACAGAAAGCAAATTTAAGGCAAAATTAAGAATAAGGTAAATGTCATATATACATAGTTTTGAGGTTTCAATATTACCAATATGGCTAGCTTTTAAGACACATGCATTTATTGTTTTAATGATTAGACCATTAGGTACATGCATCTTGTTTTTGAACAAAGAAGGATCATCAATCATATGATTTTTATAGGCAATATCAAACAACCAAACATTACCTGATATAGTAGCAGATATGGTAAGAACATGAGATCGAGATAATATTCAATTGAGCAAAGTTTGAAGATCAGTGATGGATATTGTAATGGTTTTAAAAGAATACTCAAAAGTGTTTAGTGCAATGGTTGTTGCCGCAACAATCTTGTCAGTGCGAGGATCATGAATTAGACTATTGTTACGATGATATTTAGCTATACATTTTTTAACAGGATGATTAATCCTTCCACATCATGAACAAGACTTATGAAAAATAGAGCTAGCATTTTTCTGAGTAGCAGTAGCAATAATAGTATCAGCATTATGAATCCAACTCATACCCATCAAGTTTTTTCAAATATCAATTCCATAAAGGCACTATCCATAGTTGGTAAAGGATGTCGGCGCAAAAGTGAAAACCTGATATTTTCAAATTCATCTCGAAGTACCATTAAAAATTGAATAAGATGAATTTGATTTCAATAAGTAAGAAAATTACCAACATCACTTTCATCCTTGAATTTTGGCTCAGAATTTTCAAGCATATCCCATAAATGTTGCATTTTAGAATGAAAGTCATCAATCAACTGACTTAGTTCTTGACGAAGGAGAGATATGGTCAAATATGATATTAATGAGCAAAGGTTGTAGAGCTGTATCGTGTGGTAAAAAAATCTCAAACATCTTTAGCAAGTTCAAATCACTCAAAATATACATTGATAGAAAAAACAGTGGTGTTAGTGAACTATGTCAAAATTTGACAATTTTTACTTTCTCATCTCTCTAGTCGATTATAAAATTTATCATCGAATTCTTTTTTTTTTCTGGTGCTTTGCGTTCTCTAGTAACAACAAGTCATAATTTCATTCTCTTAAGATAATTAGGTATAGCCATAGCCTACCTATTATAGTTATTTTCATTAGGGATAATTAAAATTGGTTGTACTTTTATTGAATACCTGTCATTAAGCTCTTAAAAAAAATGAAATGGAAATGTGGGAAGTTATGAGTATTAATATAAAAGATGAATCTTGAATATGGAAAGAAAAACAAAAAAAAAATTGAAGTGCAAAAACAAAAATGAAGTTAGAAATGAAAATCAACCAAGGATGAGAATAAGCAAATATTGGTTATTCCAAAACGATTCAATTTCGAAATGAACCATGAAATCGCTCTGATACTATGAAAAAAAATTATTAAAATTTTATTGTAATGACTTGTGTTTTACAATGAGGCTTAAAGCTTATTTATATAGTGGTAAAATATTACAAAATAGAAAATACAATAAATAGACACAATGATTAAATCAATTCCTATAATCACCTATCCAATAACTAATATTCTCCAAATCAATATCTAATCAATCTAGAACATTACTAGAATAATATTATCAATCTAGAATATTATCAAAATATTACTAGAATATCATCGACATTTTTATTTTTAAAAAATTGTCTTTGTTGAATTATGAAAAATAGTTTTTTTTTTCATTTTTTCAACAAAAATCTATTTTTAATGATAACTTTTGTGAGGATTTCAATAGTATTATGTTAAAAACATTATCTTTCTTTAAAATATATTTTAAAAAATTATTTTTGTAATATTTTATAAAAATTACTATATTTCTAAGATAAATAACATTATTTATATAATCTAAAAATGCAATTAAATAAAGGTAAATAAAAAATAATTTTACCTTTTTTTTTTTTTGAAATTTTAAAACACCTCAAGGGAAGGAGAGTTTTTATTCCACTACTTTCTCACTTTTTGACATTTTTGAAAATATTTAAAAACTCCAGTAATCACATTCTCATAAATCAAATGAAGAAATTAAATTACAAAAGATAAAATTCCAAAAAAAAAAAAATTTCCTCTGAACCAAACTCTCTCTTAACATTAGCTATACAATTTTGTAAGTATGTTTTTACGATACTTTGACATTAATATAATTACCTTTTTATGGGTGGCCATGCTGGTTCAATGTTTATCAGTTAGTAATCCTTACATGAGCAGTAGCAAGTTTTGTTACTAGTGGTATGTAATGTTTTATCAGTTGTTGCTTCATATTTTTATTGATTGCACAAAACAAAATTGAACTTTATATTAGTATTCAATATCAAAATTTAGCATATTTTGCTCAGAAAAATAAAAAGAGTTGCATTTCCATTCATACAAAAAAGATCAAATTTTAGTTAAAAATCCTGCCATTTTTGTGGAAATGTGTTCTTAACAGAACCAAGCAACAGGTAGTGCCACAAAGTTGAGTCGGACATTAACAAGAGATGAGGAATTCAATTTTAGAGCAGCACATTGGGCTGATCTCCATGGCCTTTTATACAATGCATTGCCAGCAGATATATTCTCCTGGGTTCACCAATTTATCTCTTTCAGCATTTCTGACGACAAAGCCTCCGTCAAAGTTAAGGCTAAAGTAATTCAAAACGACGAGATCATTGAGATAGATGGCAATTTACTTGTTGCAGCAGATGGGTGCCACTCTTTAATCCGCCAGAATTTTCTCCCAGACCTTAAATTGAGGTATATCAGTATATGTAGCTTAATATAACTTAGAATTTGTTCCTAGTGGGCAGGCTGCAATTATTGTTGTAAATAATATACTAATACTCATAAGTTACATAGATTCAGCTTGGATAAAGGTTCAATTAAGCTTAATTATTGTCAAGCCTAGTTCTAATTCTAGCAATTTAACTTATCGAACGAATCGAATTCGAGCATTTTAATACTTAACTTGAATAGTTTACAAACTTAATCAAGTTTTTATAATTTAATAAATATTTATTATTTTAATTATAAAATTATTATTTTACCTTTATATATCAATTTGAGCTCTAATTCAAATGCAAACACAAATAATCGAACTTGACATTGAGTATGAAAATAGAATTCATTCTTTTTATTTGATAAATGAGTTTAATTGAACGAATTTAATCGAACGAGTTCGAATAATTTCATTTTTATCTTGAGTCAAATTTGAGCTTAAAAATTAAAATTCAATTGAGTTCAAATAGTCACGAGTAGTGAATTTCAAATTGAGTTCATGTTCGAACTTCTCGTTTATTCCGGCTCAACTTCATTACACCCCTGCTTCCAATGCTGCGTGATGGGACAAGTCTAATGTTACTTGAAGGTGTTATTCCATTATAAGACCTTAAAGAGTTATGCTAGTTGTGTGTGTTAGCTATTTCAAACTGAATTTTCTCTTTGTATCTTGATAGCTATGAGTTAATCTCTAGCATGGCAACATTCTTTGCAGGTATTCAGGTTACTGTGCATGGAGGAGGGTTCTTGATTTTTCTGGAAAAGAGGATGCAGAAACCATTAAAGGCATCCGGAAAGCATACCCCAATCTTGGGAAATGCTTGTACTTTGACCTTAGCTCTGGAACTCATACTGTGCTTTGTGAAATTCCAAAGAAAAGGCTCAATTGGATATTTTTTGTCAATCAACCTGAGCCTGAGATAAAGGTGCTTGCTTGCTTTATCTTATAAAAAGTTTTGATGACATCTAAGGTTGTATACAGGTTTGATAAATGGAAACAGAAGCATTTTAAATTTCTTTAGACTCTGCAGCAAACAAAACTAAAAAGGCCTCTGCAACTTTTGTTACTATATTTGCAGGGAAATTCGGTTACTATGAAAGTAAGTGAAGACATGATCAATGAGATGATCCAAGAAGCAGAGAAACTTTGGGTTCCAGAGTTTGTGAGAATCGTGAAGGAGACCAAGAATCCTTTCTTAAATGTCATTTATGATTGTGACCCTCTAAGACAGATCTTTTGGGACAATGTAGTGTCGATTGGAGATGCTGCTCACCCAACAACTCCTCATGGCGTGAGAAGCACAAACATGTCAATTATAGATGCAGCAATTCTAGGCAAGTGCCTTGAGAAGTGGGGAGTTGAAAATTTACAATCAGCTCTGGAAGAGTATCAGTCCATCAGGCTACCTGTTACCTCTGAACAAGTGCTGTACTCACGGTAGTTGGGTCGAATTAAACAAGGCTTAGATCTTCCTAATCGTGAGTCATTTGATCCGAAGAATTCAACTCCAGAGGATTGCAAATATCTACAACAGAGCAACATGCCGTTCTTCACTGGTGTTCCTTCATTACTTAATTGATTCTATTTTGCACTGTGTTTGAATTCTGAAAAGATAAAAATAAATTGACATTTAAAGTCAAGCACGGTGCATAATGCCTAAGTTGTAAGAGACAATTTTCTAGTTATCTTTGCGTAAAAATTACCTTCGGGTGTTATAATATAGATATTGGCCTCTAGTTAACATGAAACTTTTGAACTAATATAAATAAGTAATTTTTTGCTGTTGATCAAAAAATAAAAGCATGTTTCTAGCATTAGTTATAAAATTTATGGAAATAAATTTTTCTAAATTTAAATTAATTTTTGTGTACTTGAAATTGTTAGAATTAATCTTTGACCACTCAAATTAAGAGTTCAACTTTTACAGTTTAGCTTCTTGTTTCTCATTTAGTTTGTATTTTCTGCCCTTAGATTGATACTTTTGGACTCTGTATTTTTCCCTTATCAACCATTTATTCATTCAAACTTTCATAAAAAAAAGAAAAAAAAAAGAAGGAATTCTGCTTGCAATAGGGAGGGAGAGATGGTTGAGAAGACGAATGAGGCAAAGGCAATCATTGCAGGAGGGAGTATTCGGTGTTTCATGGTTCCTGGCTTGGCCAACAATAGCTCAATGGTTCATCGTAGTCTTATCCTATGTACCTGCGAAATTATGTCTCATTTCTTTACCATCGGTTGCTTAAAAATATGACCAGTAATGACAGAAATTAGCAGCATCCAAATGGGTGGCTATCCACAGAAAATAGTGAGATAATAAACTTCGTTATGTCACAACCAAACTGATCCCCTTAATCATAATTCAGCTCTGGTTTCGGTAATCGTTTTTTTTTTTTTTTTTAATTTCTCATTTAACATATGCATTATAAGAACAAAGAAGATGAAACATTTCTGTTAGCTTTAAATTGATTTTTATTTTTAAATGATAAATTATTAAGCTAAATAAGTTTAATCAAGATTTTGAAAAAGATTTTTTAGTATATGTTTTTAAGTTTTATTATTTTGGTACTAAATAAATAATATGATTTTTAAAATTTAAATAAACATTTGCTATGTTTTTTATTTCTCAAATCAAAATTATCTTTAAATATTATTTATTTGAGTTTAAATGAAAGTCTAATTATTGCTTTTAAAGTGAATTTATTCATTTTAGACTTAATACAATTTTGATAATATTGGTTTTGAGAAATATATTAACTTAAAAAAAGTTATTTTACACTAACAAAGTTTTTCAATATTGAACTTGTTTTTATTTTTCTATATTAATTCATAAAGTTTTAATATTTGAATTTTATATGATTGAAAAGCTTTTTCAGTCTACTTTCTAATGGATGAAACAAAATTAAAGTCCAAATTTTTTAAGAAAAGATTTTGAATTTTTACTAGATACTATGTAATTATCTAAAAACTGCACAACGGGTAGTTTTGAAAATTCACTATAATTTTTATACATTGAATTAGATGATCAATTTCATATGGATAGAAAGCCCCTTAAACCTAGTTTCAAATCTTCAAACGGTTCTTGATTTGGAGTTATATAACTCAAGATATGATCAAATTGGTAAGTAAAGTATAAAATAAAATACAACTGGCTGACCCAATTGATTTGGTACCAAAATCAATCGATCCCCTCCTCTGTAATAGTCAAAATTGAGTGAAATTCAAAAACCAATCGATCCTCTATCAATAACAATCGATCCCCTATCAATAACAATCGATCCCTTTGTCCCAAACAAGCTACAACAGCTTGTTTCAAATGAGGAAACATGGTTTTTCATTTCTCAAGCATTTTTAACGGCTATTTCCTCAAGTCTTCTATAAATTAGGCATTCCAACACATTAAGAAGGTTAATGAATCAAAAGAGTAAGAACCAACAAGCTATATTTTTATTTTCTCAAAGAATCAAGAGTTGTTAGAGCTTAAAATCCATATCTTTTATATTTGTTGTATCCAAGCTATATTGTATTGTTCATTCATTATATTTCTTTTGTACATCATTAGGCTAACACTTAGCCTTTGAGAGATGTTTTAAGTTTGCATTTCTATTCAGTGATTTTGTAATTAAGAGGTAAGGTATCCTTTTGAATTTGTGAGATTAAGAGGTTGCTACTTAGCCTAGCAATGAGATAGTGTTAAGTTACTATCTAAGCATTATGAAAAAGATAAAGTAGTAATTTCAATTCAAGAATAATGGATTAAAGCCTTGGTATGGATAACTAAGAGAGAGGACATAGGTGCCTTGAAGAGAAACATTGAACCTCTATAAATCTTTGTGTTTGATTTCTCTATACTTACACTTTTTGCATCTATTGTTATTTATATTTAATTCTAGGCTCATTAATTGTTGTTGATAGTATCATATTTTCATTAAAGTGCATATTATTTTTAATTTTACATTCAATTGTTTTGAAATCATTGTTTGGAAATATTTTAAAGAAATCTAATTCACTCCTCTCTTGGATCACCATCTCACCCTAAAAGGTAACAATTGGTTTCAAAGCTTTGGTCTCTTTCTATAGGTTTAAATACATTGAGTAAAGATCCTATGGCTCAATTTAGGTTTCCAGATGGTGAAAAGTCCTTAAAGCTCCAATGTTCAATAAATATGAGTTTTATGAAAGGAGAATGGCGATGAAGGTGTTCATAGTAGCTCAAGATTTTAGAGTTTGAAATATGGTTGAAAAAAGGCTTCAAACTCCTTCCAAAGATGTAAACTACATTAAGCATATAATAGATGATGCAAAAGCCAAGTGCATTCTTAATAGAGCTTTAGATACTTACTACTTCAACTTGGTCTCAAATTGTTTCACCTCAAATGAAATATAGAGGAAGTTGGAAAAAAATACATGAAAGGCACATCTCTAATTGAAATGCATCATGTCTTATGGCTTTGAAGAACCGTTGGTAACCTCTAATTCTATTATTCAAATTCATATACTTTTGATGAATTACAAGAGGTTTACAATGAGTTATATGATGAATGTGAATCAATGATAAAGGATTATAACAAAATAATTTCAAAGTTGAATATAGAGAATAAGTTTTTGAAGAATGCAAAAAATGTTTTAGAAAAAAAATGAAAAGGTGAAAATAGATTTAAAAACCTTTCAAAATAAGTATGAAATTTTAGAAAAAAAATTGATTTGAAAAAAAAAATTGATGTTTTTGATGAATGAAAAACAAGAGTCTTTAGATAAGAGTTTAAGTGCTAAAATGATTAAATGTAATTTTTGTAATTTTCATGATCATATTATACATACTTGTCCCATAAAAAAAGTTTCATTTAAAATTAGACAAGTATGAGTTTAAAAAAGAACAAGAGATATTGTGACTAACTCTCAAGGACCCAAAACAATTTGGGTACAAAAATCAAATGAGTATTATCTCTTGTAGGTGTGTTAGAGCAAGAAGCTACATTATAATTTTTAAAGAATAAAACTCTAGACACACAATGAAAATAGATAACCTCTAAACTTTTATTTGAAGAGAATTTGAATTTAGTTACCTATTCTTGATGAAATTTGTGAATGCTTGATTGATTATGCAAAATTTGGTTGAAATTGATTACAAGACATATGTCGCTTAATCTTGAAAAAATATAAGCTTGAATTGAGTATGCTTTTTTTTTTCTCTTGAATATATGATTTTAATATATTCTTCATGCTTGTTGATATTGTGTTTAATACTTACTTGCTTGAGATACATTTTTAGGAGAATTTATGAATGTTCTAATGAATTTATAGGATTACATGTGAATGTTCTTGATATTGAGATTGCATGAATGATCTTGATATTTGGATATTATTTGTGAAATTGTTACTAGTACTTAATGTAATTAAGTGTGTGTTAAACTGTTTTTATATTTATGCACAAACTTAAAGAGAGCACTCAAAACTTAACGATTTTAAAATTTTACGTTTTGCTTTAAAAATGATTTTTGCTAGAGTCAAACCTTAAAATATGAAATTTGTTTTAGTAAGCTTTTAATTGTAAAATGATTTTTAATATCTTATGTTCAATAATTTAAACCTGCTCAAACAAAAAAAAAATTGATTAGCTTGCAATGGTTTTTATTTTTCATATTGTTACATGCAAGTTTTAAAAGATTTTAGAGCTTAAAAGAACAAATCTTGTTTTTGGACATACATGGGCATAAAAACCATTTGAAAAATTTTAAATTGTGATATAAAACTTTTGTAAATGATTTAAAGAGCTTAAATTATATTTTTAACATTTTTGTCCATTTTAGTAGCTTTTTCAAATAAATATAAGGTTTAAGAATTGACTTTTTGATTTCCATACTTCTAATGCCAAATCATTACTTGAACAATTTTGCTAATTAAAACTTGTTGGAATGGTTCAAGATGGTTAAAAATGAGCTTAACTATTTTTGAGATTTATTAAGGTATTTTTCAAGCAAAAATGAATTTTAAGGTGCAAAAACCAAAATCCTAGACATATTAAGCTTTGAATGGATTATCCTATTGTACTTTGCATAAATATATTTGTTTGAATGATTTTGGCATGATGAAAATAATTTTTATGATTTTTATGCATATTGATTTGTAATTGTTAAACATGCCTATGTAACTATGACATTTGAAATTGCTCCACTTGTTGATAATGTTGATCTTATGAAATATTATTTAAACTTGATTATTTTATTCTCAATTATTTTAACTTTTGATTTGTTATTTTAGAAATTGATGATCATTTTGTGCTTAAATCATGTATATTGATGTTTGATTGTTCATTTCTTGATTTCTTATAAATAGTCTTTAAGTATGCTTTAATTATTTATCCTTATTAATTCAACATTTATTTCTTCTCTTATGTTGATGAATTTATGAACTTTATGTGCTTAAAAGATATATATTGATTCTTTGTTCATCTATTTTTTAGTCAAGATATGTGCTCATATGATGATTGATTCAACTTGACCTTAATAATTGTGATTTGAAAGTGTTTAAGTTATTTATTTTTTAATTTGTGAAATACTTTAGTGATATGCTTGCTTTTGTACTTAAATGTTTTATTTTTTAATTTATGTTTTTAAATTGATAAACTACTTATTTTTTAAAATAATGTGTTGTTGGTTCATATATTATTCTTATCAAGTATGTGCTTATATGAATATGATTGAGTTTTACTTGATATGCTTGCAATATGACATAAGTGAGTGATTTTCTTATGGTGCTTATTTTTAACTTAAGTCATTGTCCATTTTGACTTATGATTTGTGTTGACATATTTATTTTCTTATGATGAAATTTTCTTAAATTTGTTTGGATGATAAATATGTCTTCCTTGAGTTATCAATTTTTACATGGCCTAAAATTTATCTTCATATATTATTGGTGATTTATTTAATTTGCATAAATATTGAATATGTATTCTTTGTGTTCATTATTTTTAAATGATCTAGAAAGGATTCATGTTTTGCACATTGCTTGAGACTTTTACTTTAGTACTAATATTCAGTTATTTGATGCTTGATTTGATACATGACCTTTAGCGTAAGTTTATAAAGTATTTTTGATTAAATATATCTCCCTTACAATTGGCAACTTATGCTTAGTGAATAAGTTTTCTTTTATCTATAATGACTTAGAATATGAAATTCATTTTCTAACAATTGGTATAATTTTTATCAATTGATTTTCTTGATGCTTTTAATGAAAATCTTTTGTTAATAAATTTTTTAAGTCTATGCTAGGAGAATTTGAAATGAGCATGAATAGGTCACTATTCTTTTTGAAGTTTCAAGTATAGTAAGCAAAACATCTTCATCAATTAAACCCAAGTACATCAAAGATTTGCTCAAAACATTTGGAATGAAAAATCAAGACCAAATGAGTACATCAATATACCTTGATAAGGATGAAGGTAATTATATGACTTTATGTTATGTGTCTATACATGCTTGCTTTGATTGTGTGAAAAAATAAGATATTGTACTAGAATATATGAACACATTGTACAAATTAATCACCAAGCCACTTGGTAGATATTGTTTTAATAGTTTTGAAATCTTGGATTGATTAATTTACCTTCATTGATATTCATGCCTAGTTCTTAACTGTTTTGATGAGATTAATAATTTTTTAATGCATGAATATTTGTGTAAGATGAATCTTTGAATATGGATATGAGTTGAATATATTAATTTCTTGATCTTTCAATTGCCTTAACTCATAGATTATGAACTTACATTTTTGAAAATTTATATACATGTTCATTGATTTAGTTCATTGAGATAGTATGTACCATATTGTGTCTAAAGGTTTGCATTTTTTTGGTATATTGCTATATATGTTTTGAAATGTTTTAGCATATGCTTGTATGATTTTGTTTGAAATAAATATATGTTTGATTACTTACATACGGTTAGATTAAGCACATTGCTATACATTGAAATAATTTGAATTATATTTGAATAATTATGCTTTTATTATTTCATTGCTATAGCATACGTATTCATCATGTTTAAAAAAAAACTTGCATAATTTTTTGTTATAACATGATGATTTGAACTTTATTGCTCATTAATATGCATGCTTCTATTAAATATGTATGAGCTTATGATTTTTGTTTGGATATGAATGCTTACGAAAGATTGTTTTTTGTTACCCCAGACTTACTAATTGAATCTTCCATATACATTTGCTCTATGAAAATTGTTGAATAAAATTGCTAAAGATTTTTTGAACTTTCATATATGCTTGTTATGTGTTTATCATTTATATAGTTTGTACCTTTCATGCAAAATTAAGTGTGCTTTAAATTGATTAATTCTTTTTTTGAAAGGAGAAATCTTAAATACAAATTTGCTTGTTTTGTTTTGTAATAATAATTAGTATGCTTTGTGATAACATATCTTTAACAATTTATATCCTTAACAATTGGTATGAGCTTATATACATGTTCTTGAATTTATACTTAATTGCTATTGATGTTTTAGGTTCTAAACACATCTTACGATAATATGATTTATGAGTAGGTTGCATAAATTTTATTATCCTTTTGCTTATAAATTTCATGTGGTTAGGTTGAGTGGATGATTTTATACTATAACATTTTAATTGGATACACTTATATTTTTGTATTTGAATACATGTATATAAACTTTATTGTGCATATTACACATGATCACATGCATTCAAAATACTCTTAATATTATTGGTATTGAGCGTAAATTGATCTTTCTTTCTTTTGCTATTACAAAAAAAGAGAGAGTCTATGAATATTTCTTCTTGTATACTTATAGCAATTGGTATAGGAATTTTAAATTTTGGTATAAATAGCTTAAATAAAAAGGGAGAGAAATATTTTATGAATATATTTACTAATGATGCCTCGTTGTATTTATTTGCTCTTTAATATGCTTATATCTTTTTATTATGACAAAAAGGGAGAGACAAAAAGAAGAAAAATATCATATAAACAAATTTGCTTGTGTTTGACATGCATATGTTTGATTGTGTTTATTTGATATATTTGACTAATATATATTTGTTGAATTGTGTTGGATTAGGATGCATGAATTGAAGGAAAGTTTTGCCATGCAAAGTTTAAAGAGAGTTTTTCAAAATATTTTTAAAAAATCTTAAATGTTTTAAAGAAAATTTTTCACCAAGCAAATTTATTTTTAATTTTTGTCATATAAAAAAAGAGAGATTGTTAGTCTTGAATTAATCATTTTTTTGAAATGACAAAACATTTAGCTAAATAAACTTGATCAAAATTTTAAAAAAGATTTATTTAGTACATATTCTTAAGTTTTATTATTTTGATTTTAAATAAATAATACAATTTTCAAAGTTTAAATAAACATTTCTCTATATTATTTTATTTCTTAAATCAAAACTATCTTTAAACATTATTTATTTGAGCTTAAATGAAAGTCCAGTTGTTGTTTTCAAAGTAAACTTATTCATTTTGAACTCAATACAATTTTGATGATATTGGTTTTGAAAAATAAATTAACTTAATAAAGTTGTTTTACAAAAATAAAGTTTTCCAACATTGAACTTGTTTTAGTTTTCTATATTAATTCACAAAGTTTTAATATCTAAATTTTATATGGTTAGAAAGCTCTTTGAGTCTACTTTCTAATGGATTAGACAAAATCCAAATCCAAATTTTCTAAGAGAATATTTTGAATTTTTACTAGACACTATACAATTGTCTGAAAACTGCATAAAGAATAGTTTTGAAAATTCACTATAATTTTTATACATTGAATTAGATAATGAATTTTATATGGATAGAAAGCCCTTTAAGCATTGTTTTCAAATCTTCAAACGTTCTTGATTTGAAGTTGTATAACTTAAGATATGATTAAATTAGTAAGTATAGTGCAAAATATGGAATAGCCAGTAGCACTGTTCATCTAGAATCATTCAATATCCAAAATTTGGCTAACCCAATCAATTGGGTACCAAAACCAATCGATTTCCTCTGATGTAATGGTAAAAAATTGAGTGAAATTCAAGAACCAATCGATCCCTTATCAATACCAATCCCTTCATTCCAAACAAGCTCCAATAGCTAGTTTCAAAACATGGTTTTTTATTTTCTGAGCATTTCCAACAATAATTTCCTCAATTTTTTTATAAATTAGTCATTCCAACACATTAAGAAGGTTGATGAATCAAGAGAAAAAAAAATCAACAAGCTATATTTTCATTTTCTCAAAGAATCAAGAGTTGTTAAAGCTTAAAATCATTATATTTTATATTTATTGTATCTAAGCTATATTGTGTTGTTCATCCATCATATTTCTTTGTACATAATTAGACAAATATTTAACCTTTAAGAGATGATTTAAGTTTGCACTTCTATTCAATGATTTTATAATCAAACGGTAACATACCTTCTTGAGTTTGAAAGATTGAAAGGTTATTACTTAACTTAAAAAGTAAAAAAAATTAAATTGGTACCTAAGCCTTAAAAAAAGATAAAATTATAATTTCAATTTAAGAATAATGGATTAAAATCTTGGTGTTAATAATCAAGAGAGAAGACGTAATTTTCTTGTGAAGAAAGATCAAACCTCTATAAATCTTTTTGTTTGATTTCTCTATCCTTACACTTTTTACATTTATTGTTGTTTATATGTGATTCTAAGCTCATTAATTATTGTTGATAGCATCATATTTTTATTAAAGAGCATATTGTTTTTAATCTTACATTCAATTGTTTTAAAATCATTGTTTAAAAAGATTTTGAAGAAATTCAACTTACCCCCTCTTAGACCATCATCTTACCTTAAAAGCTAACAATTTCCAAGCAAGTTTTTACATAATTGCCTACTAATAACAACTGAAAAAACCAATTAATTTCAGTAGCATGACTTAATTCATCCTCTTAACCTTAAATCATGGTTTCCGTAACAAAAAATTTATTTTTCATTCAACAAATGCTTTATAAGAACAAAAAAGAGGAAACACTTCCAAGCAAGTTTATACATACATGGCTACTTACAATAAATAAAGAAAAAAAATGTAAAGTTCATTTCTGGTAACTGATCCATAAAACAGGTTTCACTGTCATATAACCAAATTGTTAATTTCTACTAAGATAATGAAATTACACTGATTTTGAAGGCCATGATGCTTGAGCTGACATAATTATACCTACAATCACTCCGAACAGTCCAAGTGCACTGCCAAAAATCTCAATCACAAGAATTTTCACAAAAAGTGAGGAATTTTGAGCATCAGACAGTGCACAGCTGCTTCCAATTATTCCGACGCACAACCTGTCACCAAAACAAACCATAAGTACGCGGAAATAAGCAAAATGTTCATTAGGATAACTGTACTTAAAGTTTAAAGAAAAAAGGATAGAGAGCTGAACCCGCAAACAAGGTTTGCAAAGCCAACAATAATTCCAGAAGCAAAGATTGCATATCCTGCTCTAAGAGACTCTGGCGCATTTATCTGTGATGCCGGAACACTCTCTAACTTTGTTTGTAAAATAATTGCCACAATAACACCATATATGGCAACAGCTTCACAGAAGATTACACTGCAATAAGAACAGTATTGATTACCATTTCAACAGGCATTGCAGCATTTCAAATAAAGAATCACCAAAGCTGTGAAAAGTTTAACAAAGATGAGAACAAAAGTTAAGGTACCATCAATTTGAACAAGTCCAGTTGAAAATATTGAACATATTTAGTATCTTCAATCCTATTTGTTCTCCATTAGTCCATCCACTCAAATTTGCAACTAATCCAGCAGACATTACATGAATTAAGCAAGTTAAGTAACCGGCAACTTCTCACACGTTTCAATAGCAGGCAGGCCATCTCTAAATTTGCCAGGTAATATCTGGGAACAAATAAAAAGGATCTATACACAAGAAAACTAAATTACAGCTACTCGTGTTATTCATGCTTGATGTTAAGAAAACACCCATCCTTCCTCTCGCCTTATAGCTCCATTGAAGTTCCAAGCATAAGCATTATATAGATCCAGGTTTAGGAATAGACCACAAACCCAAAAATAAAAGTGGCCCATAATGTTCATACTATCACCTTATCTGATTTTCAAATGCAAGTAACAAAATTTGATTCAATAGAATAAATCTGAAAGAATAAAGCATAATTAAGGGCAATTTATTTACAGACATAAGAACAAACTTAATTAATAGATTACGGCTTACGAATAACAAGAAACAGATACATTCCCAAATTAAATCACGCAATAACAGTAAAGAAGAAAAATTACCTGATGAGATTCTTGGAAGTGATTCGAGGAGCTTTAATAGCGGCACCAATTAAACTACTCCCAGTTATGTAAATTCCCCTACGAATATTAAAAAAAAAAAAAAAACAATTTAACACATGTTTCGTAAAATTATGCCTAAGATCTAAAGAAAAATTTTAAAAGAGAAGGATACCAGGCGGCGCCGAGGACGGAGACGCCGATAGCGATGGCGATACCGACGGCGGAGAAAGTGTAAGGTGAAATCTTGACGAGAGCGGTGGACCAGGAGCTTGAATCTCCTACCATTGATGCTCCTGACATTTCTTTTTTATTTGCTTTACTCCTTGATTGGATGATTCGCTGCTCTTTCGATTGATCTGATGAGATTAGGGTGAAATAGAACAGACAGGTCTGCGCTTTTTTGTTCCTTTGATTTTTATTTTTTTAATTTTGTTGTTTTAGTCCGACTCGAAAAAGAAAAGCACGAAATTTCGTGCGTTGGACGAGACGATGTCGTTTCTGTTAGATTCTCAATTTATCCTGTTTGTATATAAAGCGGAGACAACCTGTTTACGGTGAGACAAAGTTCGACCTCATTCAAAACGATATTAAAGGTTATTAATGTGCCATATCATAATATATACAAAGCTAATTATTTTTAATTAGAAAATGAAAGCCATTAAATGTAACTGACATTATAAACAAACCACAAATATAAAATAAAAAACAAACATTACTCGTTTCTTTTGGTATTATGTACTATGATAACGTTTGAATTAGATTAAATTTAATTAATTTTTTTAAACAATGTATGAAATTATAAAATTTTAAATTTTAATTTTAATTTAAATTGAATTTTTTTATTTTAATTTTAATTTTAATTTTTAATATTATTTTAATATAATTTTTAATATGTTTAAATAAATTTAAGTATAAAATAATTATTTTTATTTTATAAAAATTTAAAATATATAAAAATCTAATAAAATATATAATTCAATTTGAGTTATTTTTTTTATTTTTTTTTTAACTTAATATATATATTTAATATTCGAATTTAATTTGAATTAAATAAAAAAATTAATTTAAGTCAAATTGAACATTCGAATTTTAAAAATTTGAGATGATGAATCAAGCTGGGATTAATTGAACCAAATATAGTTAAGTGACGGAAATGGTGAATCAAGCTGGGATTCGGTCTTTCGATTTAGGATGAACTATGGATTAATTTTAGAAAGTAGACATTCAAAAGAATTGCTAGAGTAGTGTCTCTTCTAGCCTATAGGGATGATCGGCTAGTGTGGGAAGCTGATAAAAATGGATGCTTCTCTGTTAAAAGATTAAATGCGGCATTGGGACCACAATCGACCACACAGCCAGAGGTGTTCCTTTCAATGATGAGTGCTTGTGCTTGTGGTGTATTCGTATAACGAAGATTGCTTTCATTTTTTTTTTTTTGTTATGCTATAATGTATTATGGAAGATTTGGCGCTCAATTTTAAGTGGTAGGGGCTGCTATGTGTGATTTCCAATTCTATTGATGACTTTGTTTTATATAATGTAAAGAGGTTCCTTTCTTTGGAGTGATCAAAGAAAGATGGCTTATGATTTGGGGTGCAACGAGGTGGTCTTTGTGGACTGTTAGGTACGAAACAGTATTTAAGAAGAAAAATGGGAAAATGATGAGATTATTTTTATTATTAAGTTGAGGTGGGTTTGAAACGCTGTATCAAGACTATGGAATGTTTGGTTGACATTCAAAGAGGTGGGCATGTTTCGAGGTGAAATTGAAAATATTATTTTTAAGAATTTAATTTTTTGGTAGCAGAGATAAGGTGGTTTTGGTTGAAATAGTATATGCTTCATATTGTTTTATGGTATGTTACGTATAGATGGATTCTTTGACCTTAAAAATCAATTTTTCTGACTAAAGTATTAATAAAATCTATCCTAAAAAAAATATTAAAAATACAGATTTTATTTACAACCCGTCGGTGGTCAGGCTGTATTTAAACAGACAATCTATAGCCGAATTGCCTCAGCCGACAATCGCCACTTACTTCAATGCACTTCAAGGCGTTTAGGAGAGCTATGGTCACCTTGCCCTTTCCCGGTAGCTAGCGTTGGGCACCTAACTACTAACTAGCTAGTTAGCCACTCAGTCAGCCTCCGATAATAAACTTCGCTGTAACATTTGCGATGGATATCACGATGAGAGTTATGCGAAATCAATTGGCAGTTATATATTTGGTTCAATAATAAATGAATGAATTAATCTCTAATGGATTCTACTAGCTACGTTCTAATTTTCACTGTTCAAAATTAATTACACCTCAAACCCTCTTTGTGTAATCCCTTTGCATGATTAGAATCTCCAAATTACCCTAAGTTATTAGAAGGACAAACATGTGATTTGCCCTGAGACAAACCAAACAATTTTCAAGGATCATGCAACTCTCACTTTTCCCTATACATAGAGTTAGTTTTGCTCTCTGTAAACATGAAAATTAGATGGTCCCCTTCAAACCCAACTTTTATCACTATAAAGTATGCAGCACCAACAAAAGAAATTTCACAACCTCGATTATCTCTAAATAGCGCACTAAAAATGGCCGAGGGCACATTCATATTCATGGTCAAACGCACTGTGGTAAGCACAGGACCGGTAGAACCCGGAAAATTTTGCCACTTATCTGTTCTTGATCGCCTTATGGAACAAAACCAAGTGAAGATTGTTTATTACTATCCATCTCGGGCAGATGTGGAGCCTGGAGAGTGGATCGAGAAGCTAGGGGACTCGTTCGCGAGTGCGATTACTAACTTTCCTATAATTACTGGACGATTACAGAAGAACACGGAAGGGCATTGGATAGTGAAGTGCAATGACGGAGGAGTAAGAATGATGGAGGCTAAGGTGAAAGGGAGTGTGGAGGATTGGTTAAAGAATGTGGATAGGGAGAAGGAACTCAAACTTGTTTATTGGGAGGATATGTCCCCCAAACCTTATTATTGGTCTACATTTTATTTGCAGGTGACTGAATTTGAAAATGGTGGACTAGCTATCGGCTTGAGCTGCACTCACCTCCTTGCTGATCCCATTTGTGCCACCATGTTTTTCAAGGCTTGGGCTGACACCACCCTCTCTGGAATTATGTCAACTCCTCCCTTCTTCTATTCATTGCCGTTATCAAAAGCCGACAACAAGAACCCAAACCAAGGATCCTATACTGACTTGATTGACTACTATAAATCTTCTATTGAGAGGCCAACTCCTTTGATCACCAACCAAAAATATGCCACCATAACTTTATCATTCACGGACCCCATGGTGCGTGATTGTATTGCCATGGCTCAAGCCACAGGTGCATCCGATAAGTCTCGCTCACTGGCTTTTGAGGCATTGGCTGCACTTTTTTGGGTATGTCTGAGCAAGATCAAAGGAACCAATGGAAGGCTTTTAAAGATGTCGCTTTGTTCAGATATGAGAAATGTCCTTGGCTTGGATCAACGGTTTTTCGGAAACTGCATGGTTTATAACAAGGTTCATTTAGAATCTGCAGGTGAAAACATGTTACCTGAAGCTTCAAAGGCAATAGGAGAAGTGATGAAAAAAATGAATGCTGAAGGGATCAAGGATTTGATCTACTGGTTGCAATGCAATGATAATCAAACTGTTCCATTGATGAATGGTTATGATTTTATGTGTGCTAACTTAGAGGGAGTGAACCCATATTTGGCCACGTTTAAAGATAGGATCGAACCACTTCGGGTATCTTATTATGTGGAGCCAGTGACTGGACCCGGGCAAGTGTTGATATTTCGATCAGCGCCAGGTGAAGGTCCATTGAGCAGGGTTGCCATGGCTACACTACCGGAGGATGAGGCGGCTAAGCTATGTGAAGATGATCTCATTCAACGCTTCTCTCCAACTGTCCTGATGGGAACAAACAAAAACTAGCTATATATACGTATAGTATCTATCAAAAAGATTGCTTTGAAGTAACTGGGATATCCTCATATCCCTGAATATGAAATAATTGCTTTGAATTAGTATACTCTCAACATATATTCCAGTTTAGGATAAATGAAAGGGTCTTTGAGTGCATCTTTTCGTTTCAATATATTGTCCCCAAAGAAAGGCTTGCAAAGCTTAGCAACTGCATGTACTTCTCATCCTATTAGTTTAATATTGAATTTTTACAACTCCATTGGTTCTTGGTTTTATAATTAGTTTTTTTTAATTTATTTTATCAAAAAATGATATAAAATAATAAATCAGGTTTAACATAATGTTGTTATTTTGTAATAAGGGTTTATTCAAATTCCCTTTCTTCTTAGGCTTCTTCACTGTACAAAAAAATATAAAATAAAATAATTATGATTATAATTCACATATATAATACTTTATTAATATATTATTCAATATTTTATATATCTCCTTAAATACATGACTCTAGTTCTTTAAATATTATAGAAACTAATCTTTTATCAGTATTTGCATTTTCTATTAATAGCCAAAAGGTACTTAAATTTTTTTTAACAAATTAAAATATTTTAGAGTGTATTTAGATGAAAATTTTTGAAATTTTAAAATGAAAGCATTGTAAAATGAATCAATTTAAAAATTCAGCATTATTTAGATAAATAGTTTTTTACTATTGGAATTTGATGATATAGAAAAAAAATATTTATAAAAATAACAATGATATTAGAGTAAGAGATAAGAGAAAGGTAAAATATAAAAAAAAAATGCAATATGAGTGTAGTTAGATTTGTAAAAATATATAAATATGATTAACAATATAAAAATTAAAAAAATCTTAAAGTTAAATAAAATAAAGTATTTATTTTATGATGGGTCATAAAATACAAAACAACTTAATTTTTAGTATAATAATAATAATAATAATAATAATAATAGCAATGTTCAAAAATCAAAACTAGCTAAATCCCAAAACAACCTTACAATGGGTCAGAAAGTACAAGCCATCAAGGCCTAAATGTGGGCCTATTCATATTGGGTTTAAAATATAGCTCTTTATTAGTCATTTAATCTTCAACAATTACAAACTTTCATTTTAATATTACACATTTTAAGAAGGAATGAAGAATGTGTTTTTTTTTTTTTTGGAAGTGAGATTGAAGGTTGTGTTGATCCATATATAGGCTTATACCACGCATGAATGTTAGTAATTTAATCTTCAATAATAACAAACTTTCATTTTAATACTACACATTTTAATGAGGAATGAAGATAGTATTTTTTTTTTAAAGTGAGGATTGAAGGTAGTGTTGATCCATATATAGGACACTAATTTAACTTTATAAAATGTAAAGGTTAAATTATGATAATAGTCTTTATACTTTATCGAAATTTAAAATTTAATCTTTTTACTAAAATTTATAAAAGTATAATTTTTATATTATTTTAATTTAATAATTTTAGTTTAATTACTAATTTCGTTATTTTTTATTGTTAAAAATATTGATGTGATCATTAATTTGATAATATAAATTGACCTAACTGACATGATATTAACATTGATGTTTTCAAATGTATCAATAAGCAAGCCTTACATACTTACCCCCCCCCCCCCCCAAATTTCCAAACCATACAAGAAACAAAACAATTCGACGTGTTCCCCTTTCTACAAGATTTTTAGATTCATTCCACCTTTTTTTTCTTTTTTGGTTGTAATTCATCTTTCTAGTTCAATAATCTGAAACACACATTTCCAAAAGGTTGATTGTGCCTCCCCACCCAATTCAAAAAACAACTTTCCTATGCTCTTAACTCTCAGCTGATCAATAACAGTCCACATAGCAAGGATCATTTCATAATGCAAGCCTAACTTATTTTATTTTTTAATAATCTGTTTTCTTGCATTATTGTATCTAATCTAAACATGAAAAGCCTGGATCTTTTTAATAATTCAACCATTTCTATTTTAGCAAATTTTATTGAAGTTCAAACAACTGGAGGCAGTAGCAGGTCCCTCGTTTCATTCACCTGATGGTCTCAAACATCCGGCAATCGTCACCAAGACAACTAAAGGGGAACAAAAATAAAATCAATTCAACTTGGTTTAATATATTTAATGAAGTAACTTAAAACAAAATAATGAAAGCTTGAATAAATTAATGATGATTAAATGATCAAAGAATGAACTCTTAATTTGCTTGGGTTATTCAGAACACATGTATCTATCATTGAGAAAAAGTTATTAATCTATATCATAGTCCTAGCTATCTTAATTTGAATATCATTTGGCTCCATACCCTAAATAACTTTATAATGAACAATGAAAATATATAGATGCAAGCTGATTCTAGAAGATAAAGTGAACTCCCTATATATTAACGGCTTCAATTTATAGTTTAATTAATCAAATTGAAAATGATGTTTAACAACTGAAATTGCAATATATTTAATTTTTATGGCAGTTTGCATCTTGGAATCACAAGATTTCTTGGGAGAATAATATGCTCAAACTATGCATCACAAATTAAAGAATCGTTTGAATTAAGTCGGTGAGTTTCCATTTTTTATTATTTCATCTTTATTTTTAATTTTTCATCACAAAACTCTTGAAATAATTCACCCACTCCAAATTAATAATATATATATATATATATCAACCCACAAATCACCCCATCCTAAAAAAATTCATGGACAAGCAGTAGCAATACATATACTCAAAAGACCAAAAAAAAAAAAAAAGTCTTTAGTCAATTTTTTTTCTATATAAAAATTAAACCACAGACATTGATCAATAATTAAAAAGAGTATCATCTATTAGATATTCTTGCCATATTACTAAATATATACGTTAATGATCTATATACAACCAGTCTTAAATATGTTTATATTTTAAAAATTATCGAGAATCGAAAAAAAAAACACTGTTTAAGTTACTCTTTTAATTTTTTATCATTTAGGGTTTTTTTTATTAATTAGTAGTAATTAATTAATTTGATGTTAGGATATGGGTGGCACAGACACCATAGTAAGATAGATTTTGAAGCAATTATTTTTTTAAAATTAATTATTAATGACTGGAATCACATAATGTGCAACCCACTTGGATGCTTGTACCTTAAACAATATAATAGTAGCAAATAATAATTTATTTGAACGGATTTTAATTTCTCCGTAGCTGTGGGGATTTTTTTACACATGGGACATATGATTATGCGTATCATCATTGACGTTTATGGGCGTTCTGATCAATTGGTTGCAAAAATAAATGGGGCATCATCGATTTTGTGCCGACTTGCTTAATTTGGACATCAAATTGGAATCTGTTGCTTCTCAGTGTTAATTGAATTGAAAATCTTAATATTTGTTTATTAATTAATTCTGACTTTTGAATGTCATCTTTTTCAAATATTTCTCAAATTTTAAAAAAGGGTTACCGTCGAAAAGAGATTACAAGTATTTTAAATTTTAAATTTATTAAATATCACTTTTAAAAGTGATTGTTTAAATCAATTAAAATAAATTTGAAATTTTAATTTTTCTTTTGCATACCTAAATTCTAAATGTGATTTGTGTAATTTTAAGAGAAAATTGCATCAACTTCCTAAAGTTAACCTAGACCTAGATATATCTATCGACATTTTTTAATTTCTTAATTCACTCTTAATCTTTCAATTTTTATTTGTTTAATTCATCATTTCACTTAATTCGTTTAAATCCTTTTTAATTTATAATCTTCAGGAATCTATTCGATATCCATGTCCATTTGAGCTAATGCTAAATTAGCAGCCCTCAACATATATTTTTAAGCATCATATTTTTGCTTTTAAACTATAAAATTTTAAAAAAGAGAACCTTAAGTATTTCAAGAAAAAAAAAAAAAAAAACACCTAAAGAACGTTGGGTGCCATTCATTTTGATTTTAAAGTTAAGAGAGGAGATATCGCTTGAGGTTGTAATTGACAAGCTGACTTCATGACTTTACTTGAGACTAAAGAGAGAATATATACGTTAAATCTAGGATTACCAAAAAAAAAAAAAACAGAAAGAAATAGAGAGAGATAGAGACAATTCAGCTATATAGGATATGGTGCAATTATTCTCCATGGATGAAAAGATCCCTGTTTTTTTTTTTTTTTTTTTGAGTTTGCTCCAGTCCACATAGTAAATTGCAGGCTAATTGACCTCCAATAAGTTTTTTAAAAACTACATTTATACATGTAAAAAATATTAAATTTTTGTAATTTTTTTGTTGATAGCACTAAAAATTTAGTAATAAAGCGAAGGGTCAATCAAATAAAAATTTCATCCATTTTTATAATGATAATATTAACATTTAGGTTTCAAACAAGATGTTAAAAAATCTTTATGTTTGAGTATAAATATAATCATAAGTTAATAGTATATGATTAAAATGTGAAATGTGAGATATATTTAATTATAGATTATATTCTATAAAAAAAAGTAAAATCATACATTTTATTATATATAAATATAAATATAAATATACGTAATAATTTTTAGTTCTTATTTATTCAAAAAATATTTTTTACTCTATATATCTAAAGATATATTTTGCAAAATAACATATAAATAATAAAGGTAATAATCAAGCGATTCTCAACTCAATTATAAATTTAGAAAAATTACATCATATATGCAATTACATGAGATAATATCTCATTGTAATGATTTTATTAAATATATTTTTAACATTTAAAGCTATTGATTTTCTTTTTTTTTTAATAAAAGCTATTGAATTTCAAGCAAAAGTTTTTTTTTTAATAATACAATGTAATATAATATTTATGCTATATACATGTTTATATAATACAAGTTAAAATATGAATATGATTCTATAGATTTTTTTCTACGCCTCTGGTTTGCCAAAAGTAAAATGGAAAAATTTCAAAGCAATTACATCACATCTATACCTAATGCTGTTTAGGGAAATAATATAGTTTGTTTTGTTAGGTTAA